CGAACCCCTTCTTCATCTATTAGGCTGGCGTAGATGTAACCTGTGTTACATTGTTTCCTGCCTAGGATGATGAATGCTGGATCTCCTTGACTCTACTCATAGAATTTTGCTTATGTCTCCTTGATAATGGCTATGCAACTCTTCCTGTTATCTCCATATGAGGGTACAGCTCTAAAACTCAGTTTAATGGTTCTGAGGCCCGCTGGTAGTAAGGTTTCCCAAACTCTGTGGTAGCTCTCAGAGAGGCTGATTCCATCAACAGCTGCAAAATATCAGAGTATTAACAGTGCCATGTTGCGCATGGATGGTGTTCATTTTCTCCCTTTTCTCCCTTAGGTGGTTCTGACCATGCAATGATCTCTATAAATCTTTCTTCTCGTACTTCTTTTTTGGGCTCACCTTATCATCGCACCACCTACTACTACCCTAAAGCTGACTGGGATTCCTTTCGCGATTTTCTTCGTGATGGTCCTTGGGCTGATGTTTTTTCTCTCTCAGCTGACAAATGCGCCTCCTACGTAACCTCCTGGATTCAGGCTGGAATGGAAGCTTTTAATCCTTTGCGTCGGTTTCAAGTCAAGCCTCATTCTACTCCATGGTTTTCTCCTTCTTGTGCGGCTGCTATATCCAATCATAATCATTTTTTTCATCTTTTTCAAAAGAACAACTCTCTTGAGAACAAATTGCTATTTATTATTGCAAGAAATCGATGTAAAAAGGTGCTTTCTGATGCTAAACTCCATTATTCTCAGTTCACTAAATCTCGCATCTTATCGCAGAAGTTAGGCTCTAAAGACTTTTGGAAAATCTTCAACAGCATTATTAACAAGGGTAGATCTAACATTCCATCTCTCATTCATGGGACTGATCTTATTACCTCTCCCAAGAATAAGGCAGAACTATTTGCAAAGAACTTTTCTTCTAATTCCACTCTTGAATCTTATGGACATTCTCTTCCTTCCATTCCAGTCAAACAGGTTGACCCATTGTTAGACATTCAAATTACTCCGGCTTCTGTTGCTAAAGTCATATCTCAATTAAACTCGTCTACAGCTTGTGGTCCAGACAACATTCCTGTCACAGTCTTGCAGAATTGTTCTCCAGAACTTTCTTCAATTCTCTCTAAACTATTTAACAAGTGTTTGACTGAGTCTTGTTTTCCTGCTTGTTGGAAAATGGCATCTGTGGTTCCAATATTCAAAAACTCTGGAGAAAATTCTGACCCTTCCAATTATCGTCCGATCAGTCTTCTTTCTGTTATTAGCAAGGTCTTTGAGTCTTTGATCAACAAATTCCTCACATCTTATCTTGAGTCAAATAAACTACTGTCAGACAATCAATACGGTTTTCAATCCTCTCGCTCTACGGCCGACTCGCTAACTGCTGTAACTGAAAGATTTTATCGTGCATTAGATGGAAGCGGTGAGGCCAGGGCTGTTGCTCTCGACATATCTAAAGCTTTCGACAAAGTTTGGCATGCTGGTCTTCTTTATAAGCTTGCTTCATATGGTGTTTCTGGGAAAGGACCGGTTAGAAAGAAAATCATTTCTTTCTAACCGGTCTATTAAAGTCATCTATGAAGGCCAATATTCTTCTTTATTTCCATTAACTTCTGGGGTTCCCCAAGGTTCCATCCTGGGCCCTGTTTTGTTTCTTATCTACATAAACGATCTTCCTGACAACCTTTCATCTAAAGTAGCTCTTTTTGCTGATGACTCAACTTTATACTCCTGTCTTGACAAAAAGTCCTCTCTTTTCGATCGCCTAGAACAAGCAGCTGATCTTGAATCCGATCTCACTTCAGTAATAGATTGGGGTTCACAGTGGCTTGTGAATTTCAACTCTAAAAAAACCCAGTTGCTTACTGCAAACAACTACCGTAATATGGTCAACATTCCTATATTAATGAATGGCAATCCTCTTATTGAGTCGTCCTCTTTACGTCTTCTTGGATTATTGCTTACTACTGACCTTTCATGGAAACCATATATACAATCAATTGCTAAATTAGCTTCTGCTAAGGTTGCTTCTCTTTATCGTGCTCGCCATTTCCTTACTTCTGATTCCATTCTCTACCTCTACAAATCTCTTATTCGTCCCTGTATGGAATACTGCTGTCATATTTGTGCTGGTTCTTCTTACGATACAGGTCCAAAAACGCTTTGTAAATGTTGTTGGACCTGGACTATCTGCTAAGCTTGAACCTCTTTCTCTTTTCTACAAATACTATCATGGTCACTGCTCAAAGGAGTTATCATCTCTAGTTCCATCAACTAAAATTCATTCTCGTTTTACTCGTCATTCAGCTAAGTCTCATTCGTTTACTGTATCTGTCCCTGCATGTTCTAAAAACTTTTATTTATCTAGTTTTTTTCCCCGCACTTCAATCCTTTGGAACTCTCTCCCATCTTCATGTTTTCCTGACTCATACAACCTTCAACTTTTCAAGTCTTCTGTCAACCGTTTCCTTGCTCTATAACTCTGTTCATTTTTTTCCTAGTAACTCCCAACTTGATAGTGGTTACTTGCAGCCTTGTTGGGAGTGAATGCAAATAAAAAAAAAAAAAAAATATTGAACATAATATTGAATATTATATTTGCATATATTGAATATTGCAAACTTTTGCATTTCTTAAATGTTCTTTAGTTATTTAGTCAGTAAAAATTTTTGATTAATATTTAGTTTTTCAGTTACTCTAGTATTTTCATTCAAGATTAAAATAAGCTTTGCATGAAATCTTTATTGTAAAATAGTTATTTAACTTGTTTCTGTTTCATTAATAATTTTTTGTGCCTCTGTTTTAAAAAATTCCTTAACATGGTTTAGCATGTGAACAATTCTTGAAAATGAAAAAAATGCCAGCTGAAGAAACAACATCCAAATGTTTGGCTCAAGAATCCCAAGGACCGGGTAAATGTGAAAAGAAATTGACAAGACTAAGTAACCACAGTGTTTACAGCGATAATGAGGAGAGCAGCTTGTCTATTAAAATCAATGATTTTGTAATTGTCAAGTTTCAAACATAAAAAAAAAATGTGAAATACTATGTTGGGCTAATTCAAGCCTTAGGTGCAGATGAGTTTGTCATAAAGTTTTTGAGAAGATCTGGCCAGGAATTTTTTACGTTTTCAGAGAAAGATGACATCTCTGTCATTGATAAGAGTGATGTAGTGTTGAGATTGTGCCAGCCAAACCTCAATAACAGGGGGCAATATCGTTTTCCACAAGACTTACCATTCAAAAACATTTGCTAATTTACTCACTAGTAATACTTAAAGTTTTTTAAAAACTTGTACCATGTACTATTTTATGTCAACTATTAAAAACTGCTGACTAAAGATGGTTATTATTTTTGTAAATTCCCTGACAGACACTAGCTGTTACAGCATAAAGCAATACTATTCATAATGTCACGTCTGTGGTAAATTTGTCACATCTGTGGATTATGCTAAAAGTTTTTAATTTTTTTTTTGTAAACTAACTTTTAACGAGGTGTGCGGATACTTACAAATGATTAAATATACTTAAAGCTATAACTGCAAAAAATTTGGTTCAGAAATTTTAATATTAAAATTTTATAAAAGAATTTATTAAAAATGTTACTTTTCAGGAGAATGACCCGTATACTAGATTTAAAAAGTTTTTTTTTTTTAATTAACTTCTAATAAGATTAGTTTTTATTTTATTTTTAACTAATTAACTTGATTTCTTAATATTTTAATCAATTCTTATTAAAATTTAATTAGTTTAATTTTCCCCAATTATAAAGAGAAAAGTAAAATTTTTTAAACATATTTTATTGCATATATAACGTATATTATTAAAAATTTCAAAATAATAATGTAAATAGTTATCTATAAAACAAGAAAAAAACAAAATATTTTTTTTATCAAAAAATAATTGAACTTGAAGCTAAACCAATCACTCTTAATCCAGTTTACTCTCCCTCTCTCTCTCTCTCTCTCTCTCTCTATATATATATATATATATATATATATATATATATATATATATATATATATATATATATATATATATATATATATATATATATATATATATATATATATATATATATATATATATAAATAAATATATATATATATATATAAATATATATATATATATATGTATATATATATATATATATATAATATATGTATATATATATATATATATATATATATATCTATAATATATATATATATATATATATATATATATATATATATATATATATATATATATATATATATATATATATATATATATAATATATGTATATATATATATATATATATCTATAATATATATATATGTATACATATATATATATATATATATATATATATATATATATATATATATATATATATATATATATATATATATATATATATATATATATATGTATATATATATATATATATATATATATATATATATATATATATATATATATATATATATATATATATATACATAGTCCCCATGTGATAGCACTAACAATAATTGCAAATAAATGGGATAAATGTGTTTCTTTTTGCCAGTTCCTACATAATAAGTGCATTATTCATGCCACCAATCCTTGTAAAGTTTACACTGAATGCATTCTTTATCGATTTGCTCTGACTCTTCATAAGCAAATTGTTTGTTCATTTTTAACATTTTTTGGGGATGACTTTTGGTTCAATTTATTTAAAGTAATTCAATTTAAAGTTATATATGTAAATAAGAAAAAAGTAAATAAATTCATACTTATTGATGGCAAATAAATTTTTCACAACTTTATCCTAAATTATTCTTTTTATTATTAGTTTTTCACAATTTTATCCTAGAATAACTTGTTAATTTTTTGTTTTATATGTGGTTTTATTTATAAAGTCCTTAATATACCATTTAAAAAAAAAAAACTATTAGATAAAAAGTTACTTGTATCATCCTGGTTCAACTTGTTTATATATATTAGTATATGATTAATATATATTATACCATTTAGAAGTTAATAGTTGCATTCCAAATCCATGTTTGAATGGAGCCATTTGCTATGAAAAACCTGGTTTAGGAAAATTTGAATGTATATGTGAAGCTGATTGGAGGGGAACTATTTGCAATCGTATGTTCATTTTGTTTTTCTTCAAAAAAAAAAAAAAATTTATAGATGTTAAAAATTATTTTAAGCTTATTCATGCAAAAACTTTTTTTAAAGAACCAACACCTTGTTCAACTTTTCCTTGTCTTAATGGAGGAAAATGTGTTGATAGTGCCGATAATTATAAATGTTTATGTAATGATGGTTTCATTGGCAGACATTGTGAAAGTAAGTTTAAACTTTATATGAACTGTTTTAAATTCAAATACAACTGTATTTTGAGATTTGTAAGCAAGTATTTTTATTTTTGAAATGTATCCATAAATGTTATAGTTGAGCTTTGTTCGCCAAACCCTTGTAAAAATTACGGAAAATGCTTTCAAGATGGCAAAACATTCAAATGTCTTTGTCCAGAATGGACTAAAGGAGAGTTATGTGAAGGTATTTTTGTTTAATTTAATATTGGTGTGTGTTTAACATTAATATAATATTGGCGTGTGTCCTGTCCCCGACTAAAAATGCGACAAACTCGGCCCCAGCAAAAGTATAAGATTTAGCAGGGGTTGATAGCTGGGGTTTTAAAAAAATTAATGTTATTTTATACATTACAATTTTATGCTTACATTTACTATTTATTAAATACTGACATATATTTATTTATTTTCAAACTCTAATTTACTTCCAAAAAAATTACAAGCAACCACTATTAAGTTATGAGTTACTTTAAAATAGAAAATAAGTAAAAATACTAGGAAATGGTTAACTGAAGACCTTAAAAGTTGTAGGTTGTATATAAAAGAAAAACATGAAGATGGCTAAGACTTTTTTTGATGTGCAAGGAAAAAAAGTGGATTAATAAAAATTTTTATAACATGAAAGGACAGATACAGTGAAAGGACAGATACAGTGAAAGGACAGATACAGTGAAAGGACAGATACAGTGAAAGGATGCAAACTTGTTGAATAAGAGCCAAGCAAGTTCTGGTTTATTGTAATAGAGATGATAGCCTTTAAGGAAAATTCCCATGAAAAAACCCATGAAAAAAACCCATGGAAAAACCATGGTTATTTGGAACATGTTTTCATGGGAAACCCATAAGTTTTCCATGGGAAATCCATAAGTTTCCTATGGGATCCCCATGAGTTTTCAATGAAAACCCATGAGTTTTCCATTGAAAATCCATGAGCTTCATATGGGAAACCCATGAGTTTTCAATGAAAACCCATGAGTTTTCCATGGAAAACCCGTGAGTTTCTCATGAAAATTTCCATGAGTTTTTCATGGAAAAGTGTTCCAAATACCATGGATGTTCAATGAGATTTCCATCCATGGAAAAAACCATGGAATTTTCATAGGTATTAGGAACACCCTTTCAAGGAAAACTCATGGATTTTTCATGGTAAAAAAGCATGATTTGTTTTCAAGTTTTTTTTATCTAATGTTATTTGAATTCTCATATTAAATCATAAAAGCAAATTTTATCACACTAATATTATTGAGTTCTCTTAATCTATGGGATCGCTTTCTCCAAATAAAATCAATAAACAAAATAAAATTTAAATCTTGTTAAAAATAATAGCTATAATGCACCTAAAACATCAAAACTTGACTTCCCCACAATATTTAATGCATGCATATGTATAACATACTGAAAATAAATAAAACAAAAAATTACAAGTAATATAATACTATAAGTGATATACATGGTAATAAACAATTGAAATATATCAAGAAAAATTTTTTTACATGTTTATTATTTTATATTAACTATTTGATAAAAATAGTATATTTAAATTTGATAATAACTTAAAGTTAAAAAGAACCATCAATACAACATATTCAATCCAAAAAAACATCAAGCCCATTTATAAGTGCGACTGCATTGTGTCTGTAGAAACAGGTAGATGTCAAACAAAGTACCATTCACATTTTGATATTCATTATTATTTCACTGTAGTTAGTCTCATTCTCCATTTCACCAATCTAGACAATACATCATACAACTATTATATACATTCTAACTAGTTTTCTTTATTTATTGATTCATTTAACTAATAATTATTATCTATTATAACTTACTTTATAATTAGGCATTATACACAATTATGAATGTTGCCAAATGTTAGGTAACATTTATATAGAAAAAAGTAGCAATGAATATATCATTATTTATGAATAACAATTATTTGATTATTACCTCTTTTTTGCCTAAGCTATCTGCATTATGTACAACATCGTTTATATTTCCAGTCAAACATTCCTGCCTATAATGTAACTTAATTAAGATAATTTATTCATACTAATACATATATAAATGTTACCTGCATGTTAGAAACATTTATATAGAACAAGGCAGCAACAAATATTATATTATATATTTATTTTTGTAATTAAAAAAAAAACTTACTTCTTCTTCTGAGCTATCTGCATGATGTACAACATCATTTACAAACCTGTTTTCTTCACGTCCTTACCATCTTAAAATATATTATAAAGGACACCGGACTTGTTAATGAACGGCTAAATAAATAAATTAAAAATTTATATTGCAAGTCAAACCTGCCTGCTAATAATGTAGTAATTTAAATGAAATGATAAGCTTAAAATGAAAAGATTTATACACATATATAAATTTTACCTGCACGTTAGTAACATTTATATAGAACAAGACAGCAACAAATATAGTATAACTTATAAATTGTAATTTTAAGTAAAAACTTACTTCTTTGTCTGAGCTGTCTGCATGATATACAACGTTAATTATATTGTCAGTCAAACTTACTTGCTTATGCAGTAATTTAAATAAAATGATAAAGTTAAAATAAAAGAACTTATGCACACACCATTAAATTCAAAATTTTATTATATTTTTACTTTACTATTTAAAACATAACAAATTTATTAAATATGTAATTTATAAAGTATGGTAATGTAAAAGCATAATAAATATCAAAGTGTGTGCATAAATTAATTTATTTTAACTAAAGACGAGCACTTTACATTAGTTAAATATAAACAAATAAAAATAATTGTATTTTAATAAATAATAGTGTATTATTTATAAACATTGTTTTTATATGCTTATATTTAACTACGAAATAAAATCTTGTGCATTAATTAAGTTCCTTTTCTGATACTTTTAAAACATTACCACAGTTTTCCTTCTCCAACTAAGTGGTTCTTGGAACATCCTTACAAGTTGAATCCCAGAGATTATGTTTATATCTTTTCTGGTTAATTTAAACTCAATTCACTATTTTATTTTCACAGCTTTTGAACCATTTAAAAAAATATTAAATGCATATAAAAACTGACAATGTTATAAACAATATAAACGATGAACAACATTGTTTATATTGCCAGTCAAACCTGTCAGCTTATAATGTAGTAATTTGAATAAAATAATAAAGTAAATATAAAAGAATTTATAAACAATATTTATATTACATTATTTACATATTCTAATAATTCTAAAGAAAAAACAACAACAAAAAGACAAAAACAACTTAACAGAACTAAAATTGAATAGAACATTTATCATAAAAAAATGTTTTTTAATACTTAATGAACATTTACCATACAATTAACTTCAAGCATTTTTATGTAATCTGAGGATATTATAAAAATAAAATAAAAAAGATTATATTAGTTATCTTTTGTACATTAGTTATCTAATCTTATTATCTTATTTTGTCTTAGTTATCTAATCTTATCTGATATACTGCTTATATATTAACATTTTAGATAAGTTTGTTTATTATGTTATATAAGTTTTATAATAATAATTATATAAGTTTTAATGTACATTAGATTACACAATGTACATTAATACACTAGTTATTTAATGTAGATTAAAACTAAACGTTTATTTGTTGTTAACCAAATAATATTTATTTGGAAAATAATATGCCAAGTAAGCATTAAAATTCAAACTGGTTTACTTGACATACTTGCTATACTATTGCAAGTTATGCAAAGCTACTGGAAACAGTTAAAATAAGTATATCCATAAATGATATAAAGTTAAATATAATTAAAAATAATCCATTTTATAATGCATTATAATATGATAAATATATCTAGTTGCTTATGTCTGTGTGTTTAGTTTGAATCATATAAATGTGATGCATTATAACAAACATATCATTTATAGTTTTATTAAACACAGAAAAATAGAAGAATGCGGTAAGTATTGTTTACTCAAGTTAAAAGTAATCGTAACTGTACGAGTTATGACGCCATCTTTAAAAGCGCATTTGTAACAACCATGGCGCAGCATAAGCTATGAAAAAAAAAACATGGAAATTCCATAGGATTTCAATTTTCATGAAATTCACACATGGAAATTCCAGTTTTTTATGGGAAAACCATGGTTTACATATGGAATTCCATGGGTTTTCCATGGAATATTTCCGTAAGGGAGCTTGTTTGAGCATTGACCATGACGGTATTGGTAGAAAAAAGAAAGAAATGCATCCTTACAACAATAAGAGAGCGGCTCAAGCTTGGCAGATAAAGTAGGTCTAATTACTTTTACAATAAGCTTTTTAGACTTTGTCTAAGAGTATGAGATATGAGTCTAAGAGTATGAGGGTTGTTATTCATTAATATAGGAATGCCAACATTATTGCAATATTTTTTTGCAGAAAATTAATGATTTTTGTTTTCTAATAAAAATTGTGGATTTTAAGTCCAGAATTTAAATCCATAAGCCACTGGGCCTTAGGCTGTTACAAAGAGAGATCAGATTAAAAATGTTTGATAAAATAAGCCCCAGCTATATTTTATCAAACCTGGCCATGGCCTTGATCAAATATCAACCCTAGTCACTTACTATGTTTAACATGATTGCTAAAAACCTGTTTCTATATTTACTATATTCTAATTTAAAATTTATTTTAATAATTTTCAGGGTTATTTTGTAATATTTTGTTTTTGTTTTTACTTAAGCGAATGTGACATTGTATTTAAATATTCCAATTAGACTTTAAATTTCATATTTTTTATTTTACAAAATCATATTTTTTATTTTACAAAAACAAACATTAGATATCAAAATACAAACAAATTTTTCCAAGTAAGCTGCAATTAAGCACTAATTATGTTGGAACTTGCAAGTAATCCTGCAAGTAACCACTAATTTAGTTAGGAATTGCAAGTGATGCTGCAAGTAACCACTAATTAAGTTGGGACTTAAAAGTGATGCTGCAAGTAACCACTAATTAATTTGTTGAAAAAAAAAAGAAGTCATCTAAAAAGCAAGAAAGAGTTAAAAGAGAGTTAAGAGTATAAGTCAGGAAAATACAAAAATGTAGGAGAGACCAATTTTGTCAGAAGAAGACATTATTTGAAGGAAAAAACCAGATGAATTAAAGTTTTTTAAAGAACAGTTAAATAAAAGATGTTATTTAACATAATTGATAAGTGAAGCAATGTTGGATGATAAAACATGTAATAGTAGCATGCTAACTAACACTGTAACACTGCATAAGTAGTGAGCATGATAGTATTTGTAGAAAAGAGAAAGAAATGCAATCTTATGATGATGCAACCATATTATGATGGCACAGCGTGGCTCAGGCTTAACAGCAAGCATGTTGGCCTTCGATGACGACTTTAAAATTGTGATTAGAAAGAAATTATTTAATAATCTCAAAAACTTTCCCATGAAGCAAACATATGGATATACTATTCCGTATGAAGCCAGCATATTGATAAGATCAGCATCCATCTAATGCATGATAGAAAATTATAATGCTTAAAAAGTCAGCATAGGAACAAGATTTAAGTAGTTACTTGTTATCCCTATAATAATATCTATAATAATCCTAATAATAAAACTAGTAAAAACAAAATTAACAGAACTAAAATTGAATAGAACATTTATCATAAAAAAATGTTTTTTAATACTTAATGAACATTTACCATACAATTAACTTCAAGCATTTTTATGTAATCTGAGGATATTATAAAAATAAAATAAAAAAGATTATACTAGTTATCTTTTGTACATTAGTTATCTAATCTTATTATCTTATTTTGTCTTAGTTATCTAATCTTATCTGATATACTGCTTATATATTAGTATTTTAGATAAGTTTGTTTATTATGTTATATAAGTTTTATAATAATAATTATATAAGTTTTAAAAATTAAAATTAGAATGATAAAATTTATGACAATTGTAAAATGCTTTTTAAATTAGTACTCAGTCCATGTAAGCTTCATCCTTGTCAAAATCATGCAGTCTGTATCGATTCCACAAGCATTTATCAATGGAACTTTACCCCAGCACATTATTATTGTAAATGCCAATCTTCATGGACTGGTGAGCATTGCCAAGGTAAAAGTTTGTTTACTGCAGTTTTTATTAGTAGGTCTATAAAAATTCTGCAAAATTCATAAAATAAAATTTTTTAATTTTTTTTTTTTTTATTAAATTTTGGCAAAAAACTTCTATTAAATTATAAGTAAATTTTTTCAATCTTAATAATTTTTCCAATCTTTCTTATTTATCCATAAAATGAACTTTATTTTCGTTTATACTTTTTAGTATACTTATTTATTTTAAGTGTATTTACATTGCTATTCTCAAAACAATTTACTTATCACAATATTTATTTAATATTATGTAAGATTATTAGATTCCAGTCTCTACTTTCTTTTATCATTATGTAAGGTTATTAGATTCCAGTCTTTACTTTTTTTAATATTATGTAAGATTAGATTCCTCTCTTTTTTTATTTCTTTGATTAAGAATATCAAAAGGAGGAGTTTTATTTAAAAATCTGTTTTTAAAATTTAGTTAGCAAATGTAAAGCTTGCCATATTCATGCCATTTGTGATGGAGAAAAGTGTGTTTGTGAGCAAGGATATTCAGGGAATGGACTGGTTTGCACAAGTTTGTTTACTTATTGTTATATTTACTTAACAAAGATGTTAATAGTATAATAATACTCATTATAGTATAATATGTAATATATATATATATATATACATACACATTAATATACATGTGTAAGATTTAAAGATGTAAAAAGTAAATATATACATACACATTAATATACACATATACATATAATATACATATACATTAGTGGTTATAAATATTTTTTCAAGGGTTTCAGCTGAACCCAATATATATCAGCCCTTATTGTAATATTTTTTGGTGAAATATGTGTTCAAAATGTTTTAAAAAATATAAATAATAAATAACCAATCCTTAGACTTCACATAAGTGATGTCTAAAGATTGGTTAAATAAGCAGTTGCTAGGTACCAAATAAGTAATCATTAAAGATTAAATAAACAAATGTGAGGTATCAAATAATGATATGCGAGGTATCAAATAAGCAGTTGTTAGGTACCAAATAAATAATCATTAAGAGCCATTATCTGAGAAAGATAGGCAAAGTCTGGAAGTGATGTCTTTAAAATCTCTTTATTTTCAGATATCTTATAAAACACAATGAAATTAGGCCACAGTTAAATTTTTTTTCGAAAACTCCCATTATTTGCGGAGATATCGGGGGCCGAAATTTGGCCCATTTTGTAAAAATATTGGTGCATGAAATGGAATTACTACTTTTAGGGACAATTTTAGCAATATGAACTTGAGAAACACATTTCTTTTTCTTTTTTCTATTACTCTTGCTGGATTTCTCTGCTTAAAATAAAGATTCAAAATGTTTAAACTTTTTGTTGTCTAGAAATCACGGTTCAAAACCGCTAAATTTGAAATTTTACCCGTACTTTGACCATTTATATCTCCTAAGGCCATTAGTTGCACATAATTTACTTAACTGTTTTTGAAAGCCAATAAGGTATACATTGAATTTATAGAAAAAAAATTATGAGTATGCAAGAGCCTGAGAAAGAGTAAGCTTCCAAAAATGAATTTTCGCGGTTAATACGCTTTGTTAGATTACAAATAACAATTGTGGCCTTATGTCTGCCATGAAACGTATAAGTTATTTTGTTACCTTAAACATGCATCTTCCAATATCTTAAAAAAAAATCCATGTGCTCAAGCGATAAAAAGCCTAGAAAAGTCCTAGAAATAGTCTAATTTTGCCATATTCTTAACCAACAAAATACTCTAGCAACGACATAGATATGCTTAGCAACGGCTACTTTTACTCTTTAATAGTTAGTACTCAAATTAAAAACAAATAAATAATACATTTTTATAACAAAACTGTATAAACTGTACAAAAGTGCTTGATAAAAATTATTTTTTAAGCTTTTTTAATGTAACAAAATGCGCAACAATAGGTTCAAAGAATGCGATGGCAAAAGTGTAATAACCAAAGTAAGGAAGTGACATTAAAGATACTTTTTTTAATGACTGTAATGATTGCTACACAAGCAATTCCCTTTGGGCAGTCATTTGTAATACTTTCTTTAGACAATTATTAATGATTGCAAGACTATTTCCTTGGAGACACATTCTTCTCGAAGAATTAGCACATGAATTTAATAAATAGCCATAGCATGAGATGAGAAACTACGAAATAAAGTTTTTTTGTTTTGTTATCTTTTGTTTATTCAATAAAAAATAATAAAATAAAAAATAAAAGTTAAATACAAAATGTCAGAGAGCAACAATATAGTCAGTCTCTATGAAAAATGCGTGTATTTTGATAAAGGACAGACTTCTTGTGGCGCTTTTAAGCGTTGGAAACAACATGGGATCTTTCAAATTAATGAATTAACTGCTGACATAAGTAATCATTTACAAGTACTAAAGGTATAATTTATCAATTAATATATATATTTTTAATTATAAGCAACAATACCTCCAACAAATAGATGACAAATTTAACATTACTATTTTATAGTTACCGCAGACAAACCAGTATAATGAAAAAACTCTAATTGAAAGTCGATTACAAACTTATCTTTCATGCGATGACTGGTTATGTGCATACCACCGTTTTTCTTTTGGTATTGGATGGAAGCCGCCAAACAGATGTCAATACCCAAGTCATATATTTCAAGTTGGTAAAAAAGCACCAAAAATTAGATCCATACCTTTGAATACCCTTGCTACTTATAATAAAAGTAATTCATCGCTACCTATTGGAGCCGTATTTTGCTTCAAGCACCTAAAAACTATTTCTATAGATAATATTATTGACATGATAGAACCAATTCCAACAGTAAAGTCTAGTTCTTATGTTGATAAAGTTTATGTTCCAGATTTAGCAATCATTTCAGATTAGACCATCGAAGAATCAAAATTAAAAGCTAGTTCTTTGTGTGAAGCACTAGGAGCAAGTCCACTGTCTTTTCACATAACGCAAAAGCGAATAGAAGACTTAACACAAGGAACTAAACAGAAAGTTAAAAAAAATTTTGAGAAATGTAAAGTGCAGCTCGAGAAGATATTTGCTGAAGCAATTGCACCTGGTCAATCAGAAGCACTTATAACCCAAGTATTAAACAGTGAAGATGAAAATGTTGCAACTGAAATGGTTCCAGAAGACCTAATTGTAAAAGTTAAGATGTTCCAAGAAAGCGATTCTTTAGGAAAAATTATTTTGCTTTCAGTTGTTAATCATAATAAGTACACTAAAGAGACATTAATGAAAGTCTTTGATTGCAAAAAACATCAAATAGAAAAAGGACGCAAGTTGCAGAAAGAAAACATTGGACTTTCCATACCAAAGAAGGATAAGGTAAAAATATGCCGAATGTCTCAAGAAAAAATTGAACATTTTTTGGAATTTTTATTTTCTCGAGGTCTGCTTCAAGATGTAGCATATGGTATAAATAAAATAAAGTTTGACAACGGAGAGAAACAAAAAGTGGCTAATGCCATTTTGATGATGAAGTTTAGCCATACAATCACATTTTATAAAGAAATTTGCCTAGAAACTAATTATGTCCCTATGTCAGATAGTTCTTTATGGAGAATTCTTTGTGGAATAAAACCTTCTCAAAGGAAATCTTTAGCTGGTCTTGATGATGTTACAGCAGCTGGCATGAACGGTTTCCAAGCATTAATTGCCATTTCTGAGAAGTGGAAATATAAAAATGTTACTAAGTTTCTTGAAAAAGGTAAAAGGTATCTGAAGAGTAATTATTCTTCCAAATGTAGTGAAAATTCAACTTTGCATAGTCACTCAACTTCATTTGCCCTTTCGGATATAGATCCGGACTTAAACCAATCAAACATAACCGCTGACGATGAACAATGCATTGACTGTACTGACCTCATTTCAGTAATCAATCAGGTTCGTGAGTTGGTTATACAAAGTGAAGATGAAGATCTACTATATGATTTAAATGTGGCTACAGAAGATGTTGAAGCCTATATGAAACATCAAATTCGTGATGCGCAGCAAAAAATGGCCAAAATAATGGCTTTTGAGCAACTTGATGAGGAAACAGGATTTTGGCTAAAGGATTTTTGTCAAAAAATATTGCCCGCTAAATTCCGTGAAGGCCAAAAAGAATATTTTGGGAAAAAAGGAATGACTCTACATGTTGATGTCTTCTTCTTCTATGAAAATGGTCGAATGAAAAAAAAAGTGTATTTTACTGCTGTATATAGATGTGAGCAAAGCCTTGTTGATGTACTCTGTCTTGCTGATGTTGTTTTGGCCAAAGTTAAAAATGATTTTCCTTATTTAAAGAATCTTTATGCTAAGTCAGATAATGCATCATCTTATCATGGAAACTTCTACTTAGAAGCCCTTTACAATGTTTGCAAAGCAAAACAATTTTTCCTTAAAAGGTATGATTACAACGAGCCTTCGCGTGGAAAAGATCAATGTGATAGAGAGTCAGCAGGAGCGAAATGTGTCATTAGGAGTTTTGTTGACGCAGGAAACAATTTATTGACTGCAGAAGATCTTTATGAGGCTCTTCATAATGGTAAAGGAATTCAAAACGCTGATGTTGCTGTAGTTATAATAAATTCCAAAGCCTCTATTTTATCAGGATCAAATCTGATTCCCAACATAAGCAGTTATCATTCTTTTCAGTTTTTCCCTGATCACATGATAATGTGGAGATACTTCCGAATTGGTAAAGGTAAAAAATGGAACTATACAAATGTGACATTCCATACTTCAGTTGAAATTGTTAAGCCCTTTAGTTCGACTTGCAAAATTTATACTGCCCCAACAATTTCCAAAAAACCACGTGTTGATAGAAGAGTTAACACTTTAAAGTTTTGTACACAATTTGGTTGCACTGGTTCATTTTTTGACAATGAATCATTAGAAGTACACTTGTTATCAGAAAACCACAATTTTCAATCTGTGAAGAAATCAATGGTAGACAGAGCAAAACTATCTTATATCAACAAAATGAAAATTTCAAACCTAAATTCTTATGATTATCTGTCGTCATCCCAATCTGTCATTAAAGGGATTGAAAACTTCACAGACATCACTGGGTGGGCATTACCAAAAAGAAAAGTGTTCAGATATTCTTCAAAGCAGAAAACATTGTTAATGCAGATGTTTATGTCTGGAGAAGAACAAGGGAAAAAAATGAGCCCAGAGCAGGTTCACCAGCAGCTGAGGACAAAGTTAAAGCCAAGTGAATATGTGACAACTCAACAAATTCGATCATTATTCTCTAGGCGAGTAAATTTACTTCTATATTTACTGATACCCAAAGTATGAATGATATAAAATTTAATTTTATTCTTTTCTTGAGTTTTAAGATAAATATTTTGAATTTACCTTCATGCTTCAAGTACATTTTTTTAGATGGAGTAAACAAAAAAGAGAAGGAAAGCTAGTTACCATTTTTTGTGAAGATGCTAATCTAACTGATGACATGATTGATCTGACTGATGATGCGAGACATACAAGTCAAAATAAAGATGATGATTTAAACAACGATATTCAGCTCATAGCAAAGGAGTTAGCAGCTGATTTTCAAATTGGTGATTGGGTTGCTATTGAATATTATATGCAGTGGTATCCTGCAATAATTCAAAGTGTAAAACGTTATAACATCAAAATATTTAATTTTTGAGTATTAGATCTTTTTTATTAAGTTATATAATTATTAATTTATTAACCACAACATTTAAATGTAAGAAATATTCAGAAAGCACCAATGATTAGACGTTGTTTTACTTTTAACTTAACCCTGTAGGTCAATCGTGACAATGTTCATGTTTCTTGTATGGAATATTCTACTACACCTGGAAAAAACTGTTTCAAGTGGCCAACCAAGGAAAATATTCTCCAATATTTATATCTTGACGTTATTTGTAGGATTGATGCACCAACACCAACTAATCAAAGAGGGGACTATTCTCTCTCAATAGACAATATGTATAACATAAAAATTCAGATTGACAGATAAACTTCTTTAAAACTTTATTTGGTTTGCTTTCTTAAACAAGTTGTATTTGAAAAAACGTTTATCCGAAATTTACATAATTGTTTTAACAATGATATAAACACTTCAAAGTGTGTGATGTTTGGATCTTTTTCTCATTAAAGAAGCTTAGAAAATAACTTTTATCAAGCGCTTTTATACAGTTTTTTGTTATAAAAATGTATTTTTTATTTATTTTTAATTAGAGTACTAATTATTAACGAATTATAGAAGCCGTTGCTAAGCATGTCTATGTCGTTGCTAGGGTATTTTGTTGGTTAAGAATGTGGCAAAATTAGACTATTTCTAGGACTTCTCTAGGCTTTTTATCGCTTAAGCACATGAATTTTTTTTCAGATATTAGAAGATGCATGTATAAGGAAACGAAATAACTTATACATTTCATGGCAGACCTAAGGCCACGATTGTTATTTGTAATCTAACAAAGCGTATTAACCGCGAAAATTCATTTTTGGAAGCTTACTCTTTCCCAGGCTCTTGCATACTCATAATTTTTTTTCTATAAATTCAATGTATACCTTATTGGCTTTCAAAAGCAGTTAAGTAAATTATGTGCAAGTAATGGCCTTAGGAGATATAAATGGTCAAAGTACGGGTAAAATTTCAAATTTAGCGGTTTTGAACCGTGATTTCTAGACAATAAAAAATGTAAACATTTTGAATTTTTATTTTAACCAGAGAAATCCACTCAGAGTAGTAGAAATAAGAAAAATAAATGAGTTTCTCAAATTCATATTGCTAAAATTGCCCCTAAAAGTAGTAATTCCGTTCCATGCACCAATATTTTTACGAAATGGGCCAAATTTCAGCCCCCGATATCTCCGCAAATAATGGGAGTTTTCGAAAAAAAATTTAACTGTGGCCTAATTTCATTGTTTTCTATAAGATATCTGAAAATGAAGAGATTTTAAAGACATCACTTCCAGACTTTGCCGATTTTGCCTATATTTCTCAGATAATGGCTCTTAAACATTAAATAAGCAATTGTGAGGTATCAAATAATGATATGTGAGGTATCAAATAAGCAGTCGTTAAGTACCAAATAAGTAATCATTAAACATTAAATAAGCAATTGTTAGGTATCAAATAATGATATGTGAGGTATCAAATAAGCAGTCGTTAGGTACCAAATAAGTAATCATTAAACCTTAAATAAGCAATTGTGAGGTATCAAATAATGATATGTGAGGTATCAAATAAGCAGTCGTTAGGACCAAATAAGCAATCATTAAACATTAAATAAGCAATCGTTATGATGTTTGTGCTTTTGTTGATTTAAAAAAGCCAACCAAATGGGATTCTTTTTATTTGATCTAAAAAAAATGACACAATCTTTTTTTTCACAATTATTAGATAAAGTTTAGTAATTATCAGTATATATAGAATTATCAGTATAGATAATATCAAGTCAAGCAAAGATGGTTGTGGTCCTGGATATATCAAGTAGTTTTATGTTAAATTTAGAACATTTTAAAAAAAAATTTCTTTAGTGATTATCTTAAATTTTGAAAATTCAACAAAATATTTTAGTTCTTAGTATAAATTGGTTTGAATAGAAAAATAGAAATTAAAATAAGTGATAAAACAAAAAAAAACCATGCTTTTAAACCAAAAAAGGTTTCCCTAATTTCACATCCATACATGGTGTTATTTTCATTTTTTAAGCCTTAGGAAAACAATAGAATAGATAATGCTTCCAGTTTCTTTATCACTAAATCACTTAATTATCTTGTTAAATACCCATAGAAGTACAAACAAAACTCACAAAGTGGTTTTTTGCTGCAGCATTTTAGTAGTAGAAGATAGTAGATATTAGATAGTAGTAGAAGACATTAGATAGTAGTAGAAATTAAGTTTCTTATATAAAAAATAATAAGTATTAATTTTTAAAAAATAATAATTATTTTTTTTTTTAAATAATAATTATTTAAAAATAATAAGTATCATTGTACTATTATTTTACCTTGAAAATGGTAAAACATTTTTAATTGTGAGATAAAATTAAATAAATTGTAGAGTTAGAAACACCCTGCGCTCCTAATCCCTGTGAAAACTCTGGCATTTGTCATGATGAAGGAAATGGTAACTTCCACTGTGTTTGTAAACTTGGATTTAAACCACCTTTATGTAAAGGTAACATTTGCTAGAAGTTTTAAGTATTAATGAAAATAATAAAGTTAAAAAGTAAATAAAAGATTTTTATCATTTTCAGACACAGATTTGTGTAACCCAAATACGTGCAATGGAGGTGTATGCACTCTTACTTTAGATGGTGGCTTTAAATGCACTTCTTGTCCACCTGGTTTTTATGGTGTTACATGCAGGCGTAAGACTTTAATGATAAATTTATATATAAAAAATTGAAAGTATCTCAATATGTATAATTTTATTTTTAGGGTTTATTGTTAAGTTTAGTATTATATTGTTTATTATTTTTTAAATAATTTTTCATTGCTATTATTATAAATAGAAAATGACTCATGTTTGTCAAATCCTTGTCAACATGGTGGACACTGTAGGTTGTCATCATTGGGCAATCATGTATGTGATTGTGTTGGATTTTGGTCGGGGGAAGTGTGTGAAAGTATGCAAAATTCTTTTTAAAAATTATTTGTTAATTGTTAATTTTTTCAAAGTTAATTTTATAAAAAAAATTTTTTTAAGAATGTTCATGCCCATCTTCCATGAACCCTCTAGTTCCATCACCATACTGTTTGCTCACTACAGGACAATGTGTATGCCCTGGTCACCATGTCTGGGAATCAAAACAAAACAAGTGTATCTTGCCTAAAGCAGAAAGTAGGTTTAATGTTTATCATTTCATTATGAGTTTTTTTTTTGTGATTTTTTTTTTTGTACTTTGAATTTATTTATTTATTGAAATTCTCTTATATTAACTTTTTTTTTTTTTTCAATTTTTAAAAAGTTTTTTGAGGACAAGCTTTTTCAGGTCTTGACCTTTAATAAAGATAATTTATCTATATTATAGGTTAAGACTATAGGTAGAAGGAAAACACTGAATAAAAAAAAACAATTTAATTGAGAGTAAAATTTAGAGGAGCTTGTAAATTTTAGGTGGTTCTAAACCTTGGGTGGGTCTAAATCTTAGGTGGGCCTAAATCTTGGGTGGTAATCTTTCTAGTAGTAGTATCACAATGAAAGTATTCTGTCCTATATATATATATATATATATATATATATATATATATATATATATATATATATATATATATATATATATATATATATATATATATATATATATATATATATATATATATATATATATATATATATATATATATATATATATATATATGTATATATATATGTATATATATATGTATATATATATGTATATATATATATATATATATATATATATATATTATATATACTCCTCAGTCTTCAAAACAAGTTGCAAGGACAAGCAAGGACATTTGGTTGTAATAAATTGCTTTAGATCATCAATCTAATTTTTAAATAAGAAAATGGGGTTACACATGATTATAATTTTATTTTGAAATTCACTTTTTTTCATTGTAGTAATTGATCCATGTTTCTCATCTCCCTGTTTATGTGGTGGAACTTGTATTTGGGATAATCGTGTTTCAAGTGAATATACATGTTTATGTAATGAAAGATGTTCTGGTCCTAGATGTGAATTTGAAAATGGTAGTTTTTATTTTTGTTTTCATTAAAAGAAACAAAACTTTAATTTTGTGTATTATCATTTTTTAGTGAATATATATCATTTTTATATATTTTATCCATTTTTATATATTTTAATCAATTTTTAATATATTATTCGCAATTTATAATGTGTTAATAGTTTATATTTAATTTGTATTTTTTATCTTATATTTTTTTAATCTTATCTTTCAATGTCAACATTGCTTATTTTTTTGCTTTTTTTTTTTTTTTTTTTTTGCATTTTTAAATTTTTGCTTTTTATATATTTTTTTTATCATTTAACAGGAGTGTGTTAAATTCAAACTTATGATGTTTATTTTTGTTTTAGCATGTCAAAGAGATCGTCCCTGTTATAATGGAGGTAATTGCACAAACTTGTTTGGTGGGAAGTATAAATGCCATTGTTATTTTGGTTACTCAGGTGTAAATTGTGAAAGTAAGTTTTTTTTTTTTCAAAATTTTCAAAAAAGTTTTTTTGTCAAAATCTTGACATTAGTAATTGTAAACATGACAACAAAAAGTAATTGTAAACATGACAACAAAAAGTAATTGTAAACATGACAACAAAAAGTAATTGTAAACATGACAGCAAAAAGTAATTGTAAACATGACAACAAAAAGTTCTTAGAATAATTATAAAAACCTCATTCCAAATTTTAAGATTGATAACTATAATATATATAATATCCATAAGTAGACTACTTATTTAATATTGATTTCAGACATCTTGTTACACAAAAACTTCAATAATTTGTCTAAAGTCATTAAACTTGCATTTTCATAAGATTTTCAAGTAAATACCACTCATAAACATTTAAAGTTAAGATGGTTTGTGGTTAGTACGAAAGTAGTTAGTAGAAAATATGGTAGAAGATGTGATAACTCCAATAGTATGAGAGATATAAATCTTACTGATAAGTAGAGACAATAGTTTTCACACAAAACAGACTCAGAGTAATTAAAAAATGATTATCCAGAGATAAAAAATATACAAAGATTAAATCAGTAGACAGAGAATAGTCAAAAAAAAAACAGATGAGACAATAAATGCGATTTTTACTAATAGCTTATAAAAACTGAAAAATGTAATGTTAAAAAACAATATTGTTTACAAAACAACCAAAAGAACGTTAGTTAAGACTGTATAATGCAAACCACAACAAACAAACTTAGCAACGTCAGATCAAGAAAAATTAGATAAAAACAAAAAACCTAATGAGATCATGATATGTCTAAACTTTTCTATTATTATAAATCAGTACCTTCCAAACAAGAATACATTTGTTATAAAAATATGCTACATATATCTGTGTTATTCTTGTCATGTTTACTATTCAGCCTAATAATTGTAACAAAGGTCTGGTGTCAAGTGTGAGTGATATTAAGCATTTTTTGCGCATACACTATCTGGTTATTCATATCAAGGTTTACTCTTTGTATTGAATACATCGTTTTTAGTTTTAAATACTTTTATAGATGATTATAATCTTGGTCTATCCCAGGAGCGGGTATATACAAAGCTTCTTAACTTACCTCACATTATGAAATTATTTTGCTTTCATTTATCAGTTTTTTTCACTTGCCAAACTTAATAGATTATCAGGGAATATCTATGACCTCAGAAAAGCGCAAAACGTGTATACATATTTAGAAAAGGGTTACCATTCTTTTAGAATAAATGAATGAATGATTTATGGATAAATTTAAATTTATTAATTCCGGCATTCACGCTTTTTTTTTTTATAATAGGATTTTTAAAAAAATATTTATTTAGTAACATATATATTTAGTAAAAACTTTGTTTCAGGTAACATTAGTAATTTTGATAGTAGAGTTTCATAAATTATTTATATTCATATTATTAAGTATTCAGTATAAAAAATATCTTCGTATGAGATTTTACTACTTTACTATTAGATTTTACTATTAACTACTTAACATTAAAAAAAGAGACAAACACTTTTTTGTTTTTGTCAGGGAGAAATAAAAGGACTTTCTTAGTTGATCTTTATACAAAAAACATCAAGATTAAAAAAAGGTATGAATACACTAGCCAACGTTGAGAAATTTAATTGGAACAAACCTGAGTTTGCTCTTGAAACCCTCTATTACAATCTTGCAAATAAACCAATGCAGTTCTGCACATCAGCTCATGAGACAAATATTTTTGACAGAAGTGATTACAAGTATATATGTCAATTGGTATATTTTACCTCAGAGCAGATTTGTTAAACTTCAGGTTATAGAAACCTGAAGTTCAACAAATCTTGCTTTGTGATGTGCATCACAAAGCAAGATAAATGGCTGATTCATTATATCTGTTAGCAATACAAATGACCAAGAATTACAACTCTGTATGAATGAGGTTAAGATGTTACAGGATGAAATAGATAAGAACTTTTAAAGTTACTCTTAAAGTTGTTTATTTTTTCTCAAGAGACCAATGACAGCTCAGGCTCCATCCAATGATCTTAGAGAATTTAAGATTTCATTGCAGATCATAATAATCACTTTACACCAAGAAGTACGAAAAGACTGGCAAAGCTCTTAATCAATTTACATCAATTTAGAGGAGAAAGAAAGAATGAATATTCTTGTGGATTTTTTAAAATACGATGTTCCAGAGATGAACAGCATTGACAAAGAGCTATCAGAACCTTTTACACAGGTAAATTTCCTGCCTCCAAATTAATATAAGTTATATTTCTTACTTTTTTTTACCTTAAGACATTCATAACACTCCCAGAATAGACTGGCCAAAATGTATTGAGTTACCTGTGCGAAAGAGCAATATAAAGTAATAGAACCTCAAGAAATGCTCATGCTGCCGCTGCTTATTAAGTTAGCCCTCATCAAACAAATTGCAGCTGCTCTTTACAAGAAGTTGGCACAATTTAAGTTACTCATTTAAGAAATTTAATGAAATTTAAATTGAGTAACAATCCGTTTTTTTTATTGTACTACGAAACTACTACGAAAATTGTTTATGGGTTTTTCATTATAAAGGTTTCTCATCTTAAAGTTATCAGAGATTGTTTCTCAGGAGTCTTATCTCATTTTTCTCCATCTTGGTATAACCAAAGATGACTTCTCTCATGGAAAGAAGAAGGCATGTCAAGTTTGAAGAAAAATCTCAACAATAGATCTTTCAAGACATTTGTTTCCAGTGTATGTCAGTTAGCAGTTGTTAATGAGAGGGCTGAAAGAAACATCAAATTAGTACAGGATTTCTTTGGCAGGATGCATTCCAAAGACAGGCTCCAAGACACGATGATGGTGATTTTAGTGTCTAAATGTGCCACAAAACAAGACTTGAAGAATGTTGAGATAAAAAAGCATGGCTAAATTTTTTGTTTTTTAAATATATTTTTTCCAACAAATGTTTAATAATTTTTGCACAATAAAATTTGTATACAATTTTTTTCTAAAACATCTTCTTTAACTAAACAGAGACTTTGACAGTAACCCAGATATTTTTATGGTGTGCTACTAAGGCAAAATAATGAGGATTGTCATAGTGTACAATGTTGAATTCAAACTTTTTTTTCTGAGACACCCTAATATATATATATATATATATATATATATATATATATATATATATATATATATATATATATATATATATATATATATATGTATAAGGTTAGCTTCAGTAAATATAAAATGTAGTTGTTTTAGAATGTCCTTTTTGTCGTAATGTTTGATATCAAATCTCCAAAGTATTTATATTTTGTTGTATAAAATAGAGCCATAATGGAGAGTTTGTGATCAAATCTACAGGAAATCTTTATAGAATATTGGTTGTGGTTGTGGGTGTGGTTGTGGTTGTGGGTGTGGTTGTTGTTGTGGGTGTGGTTGTGGTTATTATTGATTAAAATCACGTTTCAGAGCATGACTAGAGCATAAGTCAAGTAAATTTTGGAGATCTTTGGTTAAGGTGTAACAACAATATCATCAGCATATAGAAGATGATATATATATTTACAGGTTCCAAGGTTCCAAGGTTCTAACAACCATGAAACTGAGATAGTGAGTTTCAAAATTTCAAATCATTATTAATTTGATACAATTTGTAGTTTTATATTGAAAAGTACTTTTTGTTTGATTAAGTATAACCATTTTTTTATATGTGTATAATTAAAATTAACCACATAACAGTAGGGTAGTTAACCATTTTTTAGTTAAAACGCTTTGTATAAACATTAATAACATCAAAAAACAATGTATATTTTTTGGCTGGAACCTTATTGCTCTCAGGTCTTGATTATATGGAAGCAACAAGGTTCTAACCTTTATTAGAACCATACTACTCTTAAATATTTTATACTAGTTTTTATGGATTTAAACTTTTTGATATATGAAACACAGCAAAACTACATAAATAGAACTTTTTATAAAAAACAGATAATAAAAATTTTTATTTAAGGATTTCTTTAAAATTCTGATTTTATTTAATTCTTTATAATAATTTTATTTACTTTTTATTAATTAAAAACTGATAATAATGATTTTTTTTTTTAGAATTTCTTTATAATAATTCTGATCTTCAAACAGCATAACTTTAATCATTTTTTTTAAATCTTTCTTTTTCTCTTCACACAAATCTTTTTTTTTCTCTTCACACAAATCTTTCTTTTTCTCTTCACACAAATCTTTCTTTTTCTCTTCACACAAATCTTTCTTTTTCTCTTCGCACAAATCTTTCTTTTTCTCTTCGCACAAATCTTTCTTTTTCTCTTCGCACAAATCTTTCTTTTTCTCTTCGCACAAATCTTTCTTTTTCTCTTCGCACAAATCTTTCTTTTTCTTTTCGCACAAATCTTTCTTTTTCTCTTCACACAAATCTTTCTTTTTTTCTTCGCACAAATCTTTCTTTTTCTCTTCACACAAATCTTTCGAGACTTGAAAGATTAATTTACTAATCTTTTGAGTACTGTACTTTTATTTAAGGATTTCTTTAAAATTCTGATTTTATTTAATTCTTTATAATAATTTTATTTACTTTTTATTAATTAAAAACTGATAATAATGATTTTTTTTTTTAGAATTTCTTTATAATAATTCTGATCTTCAAACAGCATAACTTTAATCATTTTTTTTAAATCTTTCTTTTTCTCTTCACACAAATCTTTTTTTTTCTCTTCACACAAATCTTTCTTTTTCTCTTCACACAAATCTTTCTTTTTCTCTTCACACAAATCTTTCTTTTTCTCTTCACACAAATCTTTCTTTTTCTCTTCGCACAAATCTTTCTTTTTCTCTTCACACAAATCTTTCTTTTTCTCTTCACACAAATCTTTCTTTTTCTCTTCGCACAAATCTTTCTTTTTCTCTTCGCACAAATCTTTCTTTTTCTCTTCGCACAAATCTTTCTTTTTCTCTTCACACAAATCTTTCTTTTTCTCTTCACACAAATCTTTCTTTTTCTCTTCGCACAAATCTTTTTTTTTCTCTTCACACAAATCTTTCTTTTTCTCTTCACACAAATCTTTCTTTTTCTCTTCACACAAATCTTTCTTTTTCTCTTCGCACAAATCTTTCTTTTTCTCTTCGCACAAATCTTTCTTTTTCTCTTCACACAAATCTTTCTTTTTCTCTTCGCACAAATCTTTCTTTTTCTCTTCACACAAATCTTTCTTTTTTTCTTCGCACAAATCTTTCTTTTTCTCTTCACACAAATCTTTCGAGACTTGAAAGATTAATTTACTAATCTTTTGAGTACTGTTAGATTTTGAGACCTGCTCTTTTCCCTTTTTGTATTGTATTCTTGATGTCAACTTTTGCTTCTTCCGAAAAAGAATATATGTCAATTTTCATACTTAATTCTTTGAAATCATTTGGTTGCATTTAAATAATGTGAAATAGTTTTTTTTTATTTGCCTATATTAATAACCGAATAAAACTAAATGGTAATTAAAGTTCATTTGCTTTTATAATTTGTTAAACCTGGCTATGAATATTGTCCACTTCTTGTATTTTTAAATGACCAGGAGTCAAATATTTCATTGTGATTTCTTTTACTTCTGAATAACTTTTCAAAAAATCAGACAGCATAAGATATAATGCTGTTCCTGTTTTGCGGGAAACAAGACTCACTCCATATGACTAATTGTGTGAAATCATTTTTTTTAACTATTTTGTCCAATATTATTCTAATAGCATTTGCTTAATTGTTCCTGTTTCTGCCTGAAGATGTTTCCACCCAAAAAACACAGTATTTTGTTTTTATCGTGCTAAAAAATGCAGTCAAATTGTACATAAGTAAGTTTTTAAGTTTTTTTCGATAATAAAAAGAGCTCACTCCAGCTCTAGGGTACATTTTAATATTTTACAAATCAAACATGACTATAGGAATATCTCCACTTTTTTTTCTCTCTTTAAAATTTTTTGCTAAACATGTTCTTGATAACTTGCTTGGTCAATGCTCGTAAGTATCACGTCTGTTGCTTTTCGGAATATGGAAAGTAATATTGAATTCCTTACTGAAAAAACAGAAATACATGGAAATTTGCATTTATATTCTTCTTCATACAGCTCAAACATTTTGTGGATGTTCAAATTGGATTCTAAATACTCCTTGAACATTTTAGCTAGGCAATAATGTGAACTTACTTGAAAAAAGAAAGTTGATATGCTTCAAAACCTTTTTTTTTTGCTCTTCTAAAACAGTACTATGTTTCTTTTTCCCCCCACTGCAATTTGCAGTCATCAATTGCAATTGTACCACTGAAAGTAAAAATGATTTAACAATATTATTTTCTAATACTTCTATTTATATATTATATATATTTGTATCTAATTTTTAAACAATTTACAGACAATATAAGTCAACTGATTTCTAAACCTCACCTTGAATTATCTTCTATTTAAAAGTTTGAAGAGTTGTCTAAATTTTAATTTCTAACTTGACATTGACAGCTTCTAACAGAAGTTAAAAAAAGTTAATAATAATATGTTAATAATAACTGTATTGAAGTTTTGATGAAATTTTAATTGTACTCATAAAATAGATTACAAATAAACCTAAATTAGTTGACACAGGTTCTATAATATGCTTGTTGACCCCTCCATTCATATCCTCACTGATATCACCTGCATCAAAGAAAACATAACATTAATAATTTGAATGCAGAGAATTGACTAAATCCACAAAAAACATATTTCAATTATTCAAAAGGTACTTTTGGATTTTTTTATGATTTTGATATAATAATATAATACACGTTTATATCATTAACTAAGTTTTTCTCAAATATATCCATATGACCGTATATTCATACGACTTGAATAAATAAAAACATAATCATAAAATACATAAAACCAAAACATAAAAAACATAATTAGCATAAACATAAAAAGCATAACCAGCTTGAATAAATATAAATAATAATTATAAAATAAATAATAAAAAAAATAACCATTATTCCAACTATAATCAAACAAAGGAAGTTCCTAAAATTTATTCATAAACATTTAGTTTTTTAATAAACATTTAACTCGTTAAAGCAAAGAGACCTCTAATATAGCCATTTATAGCTTAAAAAAAAGTTAACAATAAATTAACTCTAACTTAAAATACAAATTAACTCTAAACTAGTTTTAAACAAGTTTTAAACAAATTTTCGGCACATTTTTCTTTTATTTGCCAAGCTTGTTTATTGAATTCTTTTTGGCAATATCGATTTTAATAAAAATTGCAGCTCACTGCACAAACAATAATAGTTTGTTAATAGTAAAAACAATTTTGAAGTTAAAGCTAATTAATGTTGCAATTGCCATTTTTTTAGTTGCTCCTATCAAACGTGTGAATCGATGTGATATCAATGTTTGTTTAAATGGGGGCATTTGTAAGCCCTTGAACTACGGATATGATTGTATATGTCTCCCAAGATATACTGGTATTCATTGTCAAGGTATGATAAACACTGTTAAGGTAGAAAATTAATACAGGTATTATTTTCTGGTAAAGTAGTTGACTTTGTTACTTTTTTTCCCTGGTAGGCAATAATTTAGTTTTAAGTTTTTTTTCCTGGTAGAGAATGATTTAGTCTTATGTTTTATCAAGTCTTTTGACATTATGTATTGGCATTATGTTGAAAATACTATTGGGATTATGTTGAAAATACTATTGGCATTATGTTAAAAAAATTTAAAATATTTTTCCTAAAATCAACTAATAATTTTTAATAATAATCAGACACTTTAAATTTTTTGGTTTTCTCTAAACAAAATTACAAGAAATTTTCAATGTTTTACCAATAAATTAAAAGACATTTTTTTCAATGTTTTACCAAGCATTAACTTATTTTTATTTCCTTGTTTATTAATTTTGCTCTATTTCCAAAAATGCTTTAAGGATCAGTCAATTTTTTTGTTTGCTAAATAATCCAATAAACATTATATGTAATCCTTTCATTTATTTGATAGAATAATAAATTTTATCAAATTATAAGTTTTATATTTATTATTATATTACGTGAACTATATTGATGCATATTATTAAATAAACGTTAATTAAATTAAAATTTATTAACAAAATGCACATTTGAAAATGTGTCATTTAAGATATTTTTGAAACTTAAAATAGTCATTTGTGATAACTTAAAAGTTTATTAGAATTTTATATACCCTAATTCAAATCAGTCCCTAATTCCGAACTGCTTTAGTTCACTTATTGTTACCTCTTTTATTTTTGTGGGATTTTCAAAAGGAAAACTGAATAATAAGTTGGAAGACAAGGGTAATGAGAATATAAAAAGTATTTTTTAAATGTATATTGAGACAATGAAATTTTTTAATTGCGAGTAAAACACTTTTTAAAACCCTAAAAAACCAACAATTTAAAACCAACTTTAAATAAAAAGCAATTTAAATTGCTTACTGTTCGATGTAGAATTTAACAGTGATTATTTTCTGAAAAAAATCAAAAATTAGCAATACTTTTTAAGATATTTAAAAAACAGTACTTTTTCTGCATAATTTAAACGTTTCTAATTTTTTTTTAATGTGCAAAAGTCAGCGTTTTTACATGCAAGTAATTAACAATTTTTAACAATAGTATTTTAACAAAACAAACTTTACAACACAAATAAACGTTTTTAAGTTTTTTAAAAAAAATTTCGACATCTTGTTTATCTTATCTTAACGTTTAAGAAAAGATAAGAACAAAAACTAACGTTTTAACTAATTTAACGTTAGACATTAGACGTTAATAAAAAAAATGTCAAAGTTAAAAAAAATGAAGATCGCAAAAGAAAAAATAAACTTTTGTAATAAGGTTATTAATAATAAGAAAATGTCATATTCAGAAGCTGCTTTACGCTATAGCTTTCCTAAAACAACTAAGTTTACAGATGAAGCTGCTAGTGTTGGTAAGCCAAGAGCAATTAGCCAAGTAACAAAGAGGCTTATTGTTGAACTTGTACAGTTTATGAGCATTGGCTTCAGTTTAAATAGAAATGATATTTTTAAATTGTGGCAGAAAACTATTTGAAAGAATCTAAACAAACTTATTTATTTTAGGCCGGTAAACCAAATCAAATGAGGTACTATTGTTTCATGAGGAAATATGCAAAAAACATTTGTGAAAGAAAGGCTACTAGTATGCAAGCTGTAAGAGCATGTCTTTGCAACCGACAATTTATCGAGAGCATAATTTAAATTAAAAGCCGTTCCATGTGTTCAACTGTGATGAAAGTGGATTGAAATTCGATCAAGGTAAAGTCAACATTGTTTGTAGAAAAGGGTTAAAAAATTCAGAACAACTTGCCCCAATAAATGAAAAAAAATTACTACAGATTTAACTTGTTGCAATGTTATTGGAAATTTTCTACCACATCAAGTCATTTACAAAGGTCAACCAGCAAATCGGGTTGGATGGAAAAGGAAAATTTCATAAAATGGTTTTGTTAAATTTTTTTAGTTCATGTAAAAAAACTTCAAGGATGTAAACTCCTATTTTTAGATAGTCATGCATCTCACATCAGTTTTGAGTTAAAAAGATTATCTGAATCAAACAACATAATTTTATTCTGATTGCCACCTCACACAAGTCATTTTTTGCAACCTCTAAATGAGTTTTTAAGACTGTAAAAACTCATTTAGAGGTTTGTTTAAAGGAGTTTTTAAACAGAATCGAAGAGAATTGTAGAAGTTTACTTGGTTAGAAATTCTTATTTAAGTTTGAGTAACCATCAGTTTCCTGCCATGTTAAAAGACCTTATTGCAAATAAAGGCTTTAAAGTGAAAAATGCAAGTAGTACTTTCGAAAATACTGGTATATTTCCACTCAATTGTTTAAAAATAACTTCAAGAAAAACTGCAATCTGATTGTTTTTCAAAATGTAACAAATGACAAAATTGATAATTGCTTCTCTGGAAAGTTGGCCGATTCAAAAGTTTCACTGGATAATATTATTGGAATAATTTCAAAAAACTCTATGAATAGACTTTCAACAAAAGAAAGCTCAAAGAACTGGATTAATAATGTTGGATAGTATTAATAATGTTGTTAAAAATCTTTTGAATAAATCAGTGCTCAGAGTGCTTAGCGATAGATTTTTACCAGTAGTAAAGAAAAGGGAACAGTAATTAAAAAAACAACATGTTATAACACTGAATTATCTGTAATGGTTAACGACAAGCTGCGCATGCTTTTAAAAAAAGAAAACTTAAATAATAAATAGAAAAACTAAATAAGAAATAGAAACCAAAAAAGTTATTTGAGAAGAAAAAAAGCTAGACGCAGTCATTCTCAAAGAACAAAGGTTTAAAAAATAATAAAAAAGCTTTTAAAAATTAACAAACCTCGAAAACAGTCTATGAAATATAAAGATGTTGTTAACCTATTTGTTAAAATATGTTAGGCATGTTTACTTCCTGCCACAAGCTGTAATCCCTATCAGATCGATCGTCTTTTTTATTCTTACGAAAACCTTCAGAACGAAGCTACAAGCAGCAAAAGGGTTACATATGAAAAGTGTTCGAACTGGTTGTGTACTTCATGTATTATCAGTTATCATAAAACAATTGAGTTCGTGTACAAGGACTGTGAATAACTTTTATTAGTTTTAATTTTTGTAGCTTTATGTTTTAAATCTTTTTTTTTGATATTGCAATTTTTTCATTTAAGTTTTTAAAAAATTATCAAGTTTGTACAGTACAACTAGGGTTGCCAACTTTAAATGAAAAAAAATGCGATATTTTTTAAAGGCGAAGAATAATGTAGTTTGAAAAAATAATTTTTAGGGAACAAAATTAAAGGGTTACTGAACAATGTTTAGTCCTGCTATTTAAAAACACACCTGTATAAAAGATAAAAAATCTGCATTGCTAAATAGTAAAAAATCATTACAAGCTTCCAGTTCGATTGTTTTTTTATTTGCATTCACTCCCAATAAGGCTGCAAGCAACCACTATTAAGTTGGGAGTTACTATGAAAAAAAAAGAACAGAGTTAAAGAACAAGGAAACGGTTGACAGAAGACTTGAAAAGTTGAAGGTTGTAAATTTTTTATTGTCTCCTCATATAACTATACAACTTTGCACTTTGGATTCATTTTCTTTTGTTGAAGAATTAAAACAAATTAATGTAATTAATAAATTTATTGTTTCATAAAAGATTAATGGAGGAGCATTCGCTAAAGCTGCAACCGATACTTAAAGCTAAGATTTCTGCTAGTTAACTGCGGTTAACTGGCAGAAACAGACAGTGACAGTGAAGGTGAGTTTTTTTAACTGATTACCAAAAAATAATGGGAATTCAAGTCAGGATCTATTAAATAGCCTTTTTCCAACGCATTTTTATAGCCCACACTTTTCCAATTTTTTATACCCTTACATTAAAGTATAAAAGCAATCTAGTGTTAAAAAAATATTTTTACTCTAAGTTGGAGGTCTACGCTAGTATGCTAATGCTATTTTTGGGATATGTACATTCGGAATTAAGAACACGCGTCCCTTTTTCTGGACAAAAACTTCACTTTTATAAATTAAAAAAGAGAAAAGATTTTTGTTGTCAATATACTTGTTGCCCAATATGATTCAATTCATTTTAAATTCCAGTTTATTTATTTATTAAAAAATAAAGGTTTACCTTGATGCTTCTGCAAAAAAAAAAGATTTACCTTGATGGTTCTACAAAACAAAAAAAAAGGTTTACCTTGATGCTTGTGCAAAAAAAAAAAAAAAGTTTACCTTGATGCTTCTTCAAAAAGAAAAGTTGAATTTGATGCTTTTACAAAAATGTCAAAAAAAATTTAATATTAACTGAATGCTAAGCTTGATTTTTTCTAGAATTTGATAAATTAAAATCTCAACTGTTTTTATCGGTTGGCCTCAGTGCTATCGGCTTAATATACTTAACATTAATTCAAGAAATACTTAACAATTTAGTTTGATTTTTTTTTTGCATTGGCGTTCTATCAGTCTAAAATGAATAAACAATTGAATAATCGGAAAAAGGGTTTTGCAAATTTTCATTCAAAATACAACCTACTCTTATTCAAAAATTGCAAAATTGTCAAAAGTCGCTACAAGAAGACAAAAAGTGGTACAAGAAGGCTCTACAAAAAGCGATACAAAAAGGCTCTACAAAAAGCGATGCAAGAAGACTCCACAAAAAACGATACAAGAAGACTATACAAAAAATTTCATGATTTATTGCTATTAGATAAAAACTGTAGAGATTTTAGAGAAAAAATTAATTTTTTTAATAAAATAGATTTGTTTTTATTTATTTGACCACCACTGTTTACAGATATATGAATATATACATATACATATGTACGAATATATATATACATATGTACTAATAAATACACATATAGAAATATATGAAATAAATTTTGTGTATTTTTTATAGTTTATTATATTAAAATTATTGCTTTCAGTTGATCGTTGTCGTGATTGTGATATTCATGCTAAATGTGTTCATGGTGTATGCAAATGCTTGCCAGGTTGGGTAGGCAATGGATATGAATGCGTTAAAGAAGGTGAGAAGGTTTTAAACGTTTAATTATTTAGTTAAGCTAATTTTTAACTTTTCTAAATGTTGCATTTACTAAAGAAGGATCTGTTGCATTTACTAAAGAAGAATCTTTTGTGTTTGTGTGGCCTATGTTTTATGTGTTTGAGTTTTAATACTTGGTAATACTTTTAGATTTAAAAATATTTTAGAATGTGATAGCAAGTGTGTTGGGTTTCAAACGTGCATTTCAGGAGTTTGTGGTTGTTTACCTGGATACATTATTGTACAAAATATTTGCATGCGTAAGTATATATATATATATATATATATATATATATATATATATATATATATATATATATATATATATATATATATATATATATTTCACATACACACATATATGTATATATATACATACATACACACATACATACATACATACATACACACATACATACACACATACATACATACACACATACATACATACATACATACATACATACATACATACATACATACATACATACATACATACATACATACATACATACATACATACATACATATATGAGATAATAATTAATAAAAAATCATATATAAATATTTTATAGGTGAAAGGAAAAGCACAATAAAAGCACTTCCAGTATCAATTACTCCACGAACTATGTCAACTTTTGACCACATGCTTGGTACGACGCGTAAACCCCTAACGACACTCTATGAGGCATCAGTTGCAACAACTGTCACTCACCAACCAACTATTGGTTTACCTATGACTTATTACTTGAGTACAGTTTCTACAAACTTACCTGCAACAACAAGATTACCTTCCATTGAATATTATGATAATAATACTCCTTCAGGTTTAAAACATAGTTTAAACATTGATGTAGAAAATGGTCTATCTAAGACTCATGTCTTCATGAAACAAAATATTTCAGAAGTTACATTAAAAAATAAAAATAACTCTTTGAAAGGCGTTTCAAATTTTACAAAAACAAGCTTTTTTAAAAAAAGCAAAAAAAATATTTATCCAGATCAAAGTAAGAAGGATATAAAAGAGAGGGTATATAAATCAGGCAATGTAAAACGAAATTTTCTCCAAAACGTTGATAAGAATGAGATGAAATATTTACATGAAGGTATAACTCACAATTTTAATGAGAAATTAAAATATGCTAACAAAATTAGTTCTGGTAATTCTGATTTGTTAAGAAAAGTTAAGGATTCTAATATATTAAAACATCTTGCTTTAATTTTTACTAAAAGTAAAAATGTTAATATGAACAGTACAAATATTGTACTTAAAAAAAAGAAACCATTTTCAAAAAACTTTAATGAAACTAATATAGCATCGAAGCAGTCAATAAAATCTGGAAATCACTTTTCAAAAAGTATTAATGCCTCAAAACATTCTGAAATTACTTATTATTATTATCCTATAAATTCATTTGATGATTTACGTGCAAATATGAAAGACGCTGGCCAGTATGGAGAAGATTTACGTACAAACATGATAGAAGCTGGCCAGTATGGAGAAGATTCTGAATCTTTTAATGGGCAAATAAATAATCCACTAGGAAGCGAAGTTACTCAGGATAGAAAGTTTATTTTGGATAGTTTACATTATCCCAATAGTTTTCTCGATTATCCAACTGAACAGAAATCAACAGATATGAGTAATGAAAGCTTATCCTCTTTTATAAAACAGGAGAACATGGATATTGCCAAAATACGCGCTGATCATCTAAAATATGTAGATAATGATATAGAGTCAGAACTACCTCAAGGTGACAATATGCAATACTTTAATTCAAATAGTGAGGGTGTTTATATACCTATTTACAGTCATGATTTACCAGTGCTACATAATACAAAAAAACTAAATGGGTCAGTTTCTGATAATATAACTACAAATGTTTTTCCTTTTAAACAAGATAAGGGAGATAAGGGAGGGCTGGAACAGGAAACTTCAAACATTAAAAATGAAAATCTAAATGTAAGCAAAGGATTCGACAAGCAACATACAGCAATAAACAACGACAAAGATTTTCCAGATGATGATTTACAGAAATGGTTAAAAGAAGCGAAAGTTTTGTATGCAAAAGGAATTAAAATTCTACGCAAAAAAGGTTTATTAGATGAAAAACAAAGTTATTTTTCAAGAGCTCAAAAACGAAAACTTAATTCTTTATCGAATTATAAAAATAACATTAGTAATTTTAGTGTTGAAGATATTTATCCTGATTCATTGTATCCTGATTCATTAGATGATTTTACTGATAATCAATCTTATCCAGACGAAAATTTATTTTATGATTTTAGTGATCAGTTCTATCCAGAGGTAAATTTGTCAAGTAAGCACAGTTCTTTTTTAGCTCGTTTACCCAGTAATGACAATTCTACTTTATTAAGTTCATCAAGTAAAGACGATTCTTTACGTAAAACCAAAATTAGCGAAAGTTTTCAAAGAAAACCTCATGCTGTTAGAAAACCTGAGGAGAAATTTGAAAGTGATAACAAAACGTCATATAACAAAGAAAGTTTCTTTGCAAAATTAATTACATTAGATAAAGCAAATAAACAAATTAACTTATCAGGGCAGAACGAAGAGATTATCCCGATTAAAATATTTTCCAATCGTTTTCAAATCATAAAATATTTTGACAAAATATTCGGCTACGTTAATGAAACACAAAACGACACAAAAAATAATGAATCAAGGTTGTTGCAAAATGATTTAAAAAACAATACTGATGAAGTTAGGAACGAAAAGAATGACACAAAAAGTGACCCTGGTCAAATGCCAAACTTACAGAAGGACATTAAAAATAACACTGATGAAAAATGGAACTCGCATAATAACACAAAAACTAATGTTGATGAAGATAAGAACACACAATTGCAGAACGACACAAGTGTTGATAAAACAAGAAACTCTCATAATGATTCAGAAAATGAAAGAAAATCACAGAATAATGTAAAAAATAATGATACAGGAATCTCACAAATTGTCACAAAAAATAACTCTGATGAAGCAAGAAACTTGCAAAATAACATTAAAAATAATGTTGGTAAAGTTGGAAACGCACAAAATGATACAAAAAATATTACGCGTGACCAACCGGATCACATTGATCATAGTTTTGAAGCCAACTGGGATATGTTTGAAAATCAGAAAACAGAAAAAAACATTTTAAATATTTCTGAAAATCAGAAAGCAAAAGAACCCATTTTTAATATGTCTAAAAATCAAGTAACAAATGGTTTAATCGAGAATTTTTTTGATAATGACGACAGGCACGTTATTTCTCTTCGCGGCATAGCAAAAAGCAACATACCAAACAACCTTATTGTGCTAAAATCTCCAATTTATTTAAAGAAAACGAAACTAAAGCCATTGATAAAAGTGCAACCGATTGATAACAAAAAGAAAATCTCAAGTTTTTTAAAACAGAGTTTAGTAAAAAATGAGTCAAAAATGAACATAAAAAATTCATTTAGAGGAAATAAAACAAATCAAAATTTATCTTTGTATACAGAACAACACAATTCATCGAATAAATTCACTGCCGTGTCAGTTCCTTCTAAAGTTAAAAAAATTATTTCAAATGCAAACAAAAACTTTAATCGAGAATTCATGAACAAAACAGTTGAAGTATCAGACGTGTTAAAAGAGTACGGAATAACTAAAAATGATTTAATTGTAGAAACGAACAAATAAGAATGTCAAAAAAATTGATGATTAAACGAAGTAGTTTTGATAAATGACCTAAAGTTTTTTGAGGAGAAACCGTAATTAAAAATATTACGTAAGGTAACAATGACATTCTTTTGATCATCAAAATCTTTGATCTGATCGTAATCTTTGTTATGTGTTTTACAAAATAGATTCTGATTTGATCGCCTAAAAATTTATTTAAAAATAAAATGTTTGGTAAAACTTTAAATTTTCACAAATAAAAAGTGAAATTTTTATTTTATTTATAAAGTATTTTCAGATTAAAAGTTGTTATCAAATTTTTTTTTTTGTTAAAAAAATGCCTTTAATTAATTTAAAATCAGCCAATTATTGACATTTTAAACCTCAACTGTCCTGTGAGATACAAATACTCACAACCTCAACTGTGAGATACAAATACTCACAACCTCAACTGTGAGATACAAATACTCACAACCTCAACTGTGAGATACAAATACTCACAACCTCAACTATGAGATACAAATACTCACACAAGACTTTACGGTTGAGAATATAAATCCGGTTTTATGGTGAAATTGAAATAATTCAATTTCAATAATTCCTTTTTAATCCGCTTCTGTTTATTCAGTGATCACATGATTCACTGATCACATGATCGATTTCAGTTACTACTAATATATTTACAATTTTTTGGCTAAAAGTCCTAATATTTAGTATATACTAAGTTTACTTTATGTTTATTAGGTGTTGCTAAGTTTTTTTATCGTTTGGCATACTTTTATATTTTATAGTTTCTTGTGCATAGTTAAGAAGCAATTTTTGTTTGTAGACTCAACTGTTATTGTATGACTTGCCATACATACATCTTAAACCACCAATATAACTGTTTGTTTCTTATCTTTCGCCACTCGCTCTTCAAACATGTTCATTCTTAGCATGTGGTAGCAGGTAAATTAGCTCGACCTGTAGTTTAACCTGTCTTCCTCGAATTTTCTGGTTTCCCTAAAGTTAGCTGGAGAAGAATAAACTCCATTACCAACAATAAATAAACTAATTCGTAATTTAGTTTTATATCGTTTTAAATCAGACAAATAGTGAAACATGTGCGATGTTTACAATGTTGACGCTGGCTATTCAACCATGATTGAATAAAATTATACTACAAATATTGTGCAACATAAAGCCAGCTAAAACGGTTCGTCAAGAAAAACAAGCATAATAATTTAGATGGAAATATAACGAAGCTAAAAATTGTTGTACAATCTTTGTAGTATAATTTTAAGCTTTATTAATAAGGTATAACATTTGTTATCATGTACTGTTACTTTAGAGATCGAAATGAAAATTAAATATATTATAATTTAATAATCATTTTTTTTACCAGAATAATTCAAGTAGATTTTAAATTATAAAAACTAAAAACACTCATTTGGGATTAGGTGTACATATCAGTATGCTCCCATAACCGTACCTTCATGCACCCTTGATCCTATTCGCATATACTCGATCCATTGTCAAATTTATATCACGTATATTTAAGAACTTTTTTTAAACCATCAAAATTGTCGATAATAAAAACTAATAATGTTATTTTACTACAAATCTTTCTTGAGAGAAGATAAAATCTATGAAAAAAATTTTCTACTGAATGTTTCCCCAGTTGTTAAAGTATGATATTTCTTCTTTACAATTTCCTGAAGTAGAACTAGAAGGCAACATCTTTAAAGTGTTGTGATTCTTTGTAGTCACTGTTACTGATATGTGTCGCAAACGAATATCTTTTAGATTGGAAAAAAACTTCTCCAACTGTATAACGATTAAAAGCAGTTGCTCGTGCAATACTAGTAGTTTCTGGATTTCGTAAAGATAACTTATTCCTACGTAACATAAGACCATGAAGCCACTGTTTCCCAGCGATTTGTGAACTTTTCCATAATTTAGGAATGCGTTTAGAAAGAGTCATTGCGAATTTGTCTTGTTTTGGTTGACAATCCATTATGAAGTTTTGAAGCCTTTAAAAGATAGTCAGATAATGTTCTTCGTTAAAAAAGATAGGTTTGCCGACTGTATTTGGATTTAATTGACAATTCCTTACATATCTCTTAAGTGTCATTAAATTTATTTCACTCTCCATAGCACTATATAACCATTACACAATGCACTATATAACCATTAAGAACTGGATTAATAGCCGCTCGCATTTCATTTTCATAAACTTTACCTCTAGGTGGTCTATCGCTTTTTCTTTTTTTATGATACACCATGTTTAACTGTAAAAAAGTTAAACATCTTTACATACTTTTACTATATTCCTAATTTTTGGATGAACATTTATAAAGATCTTTATCTATAAGGATCTTTTAAGCAAACACGCACAGATAAGCAACCATATAAGAGGTGAATAGTTTAGTTACAAAATGACATAAGTAAAATACTTAACTCAAAAAAGAGTACTGCTACTTTTAACTTCTTATTTTTATCTTCTTCTTTCCGTGCTCAAAAAAGATATGGATGGCAAAATACCAACCTTATCTTTTCATAGAGCCCCTACAGATCAATAAAATATGGTCAATAAATCAAGTAGAAAATTTAGGGGAAAAAAAAATGGTAAAAAAGAAGATATAATAGAGTAAAAGTACTACAAACCGTACAGTGCGTAAAAGCGGACACTTATCAAAAAAACTAAATATCTTCACTAAAAATAAAAATATTTGTAAAATTTAAGAAAGTTTTTCATTTTTACTGTGTGAAAAATTAAAAATTTAAAAAAGAAATTATTCAGATGATTGCTTTAATAAGATATTTAAGTTCAACAAAATCCAAACCAAAATCCAAAAGTCAAACTTTTTTTTGGAAATTAGGTTCTTAGCATGAAAGATTTAAAAAGGCAATTTAAAAACAAAGGAAGCTATTTTGTTGGAAATTTTCTGCTCATTTCAAAAATAGTTTTAGATTTAATGATCTTACTCCGTTAAAAAATTATGACGGAAATAAGATTTTCTTTAGTTTTCACCTTAAAGCGGACACAATAATTTTACCCTATAATTAATTAAAAGCTTAATCTGTTAATTATTTTTTACTCTAATTCAATTTTTTTATTATGTTAAGGTTAATTTATTTCATAAACTTTACATACTGACTAAATTTTTTTTATTTGGGATTTCAAGTTTTCACACTTTCGTGTTAATTAGTTTGTACTTTTGCACTTATACTGTTGAAATTAAAGTACAAAAGTACACAAAGTAACCATAAAAGTGCTTCGTTTCTTCAATTTCAAAAATCTGTAACTGAATTGAATTTACTAAATTTTTAATGACAAAAAATAAAACAAACCAAAAGCCTTACACTGAGGAGAATTGAATAAGATTGAAAATGGTTAAGCTTAAGAGAAGCAGCTCAATTCTACCGCATACCAAAATCAACTTTATCCGACCGAAAATCAAATAAAACTTTAGTAGTTGGTAATGGAAATACAACAAAATTGAGCCCTTTTTTCGAGTTAAACTTAGTTCACCTCCTTCAGAGCTTGGCGGTTGGAGCTTTGGCAGATGAATAGATCAAGTTCAAAGTTTAAAAAACCTTCAAAAAATTGGTGGTCAACTATTTTATTTTTGGATGGCCACAGCACACACGCGTCATTAAGTGAAGCCTTAAAATATAAAGAAAACAACATAACACAAATTTGCATACCCGCCCGTTCATCTCACATTTTGCATGTTGGTGTATTTTGCCAAGTTAAAGATGTTTGGCGTGATAGTTTAAGAAACTTTTATGCTGAAAGTAGTTTTAGCAATTTGTCTAAAAAAAATTTCCCAAGTCTCCTTGCACAGTTATAAAAGCAACAAAGCTTACACTCGTATTCAAATTATTGCTGGTTTTGAAAACACTGGGCTTTTTCCATTAAATCAAGACAACATTGACAAATCAAAATTACAAATTTGTCAAAATTTAAATAACGTCTTAATAACATCATCAGCAATTACAAAACTCAAACTGCTCAACAAACACAAATTTTAATTCCGCCCGCAACTGCAACTTCAATTTCAACTTAAATTTAACTTCTCAAGAAGAATTGGCGACTCGTGTAAAAATTAGTCTTGAAAGACCTCTGTTGAAGCAATTTCAATTTCAAAACGCTTACAAGCATCCTGAAATAAAAACCAGAAATGTAAGAACAATGGCTGGTCAAACTTTTACAGAAGAAGCATGGTTAAATAAGTTAAGAGAAGAAGAAGACGCAAAGCTGTTAAAACGAACATATGTTGAAATTGAAGCAGCAGATGTAGAAACTCCCGCCAAGAAAGCCAAAAAAAAGTGCAAAAAGTGTCCAAAGGTTTTCGAAAATGAAACGCCAGAGATAAAAGTTTTATGAAAAAATTGTAAAAAATCCAGTTGCAGTTCGTGGCTTTGTGAACCTTGTCTCCCAAAAAGATGTATAAAAGGCGAAGAATTCTTTTGCACAAAAAGTTGCAGAACCTAGTTTATAAATTTTTTATTTTATTTTTAAACTCAAGCCTGCTTATGTTTATTTATTTTTTTCTAGTTTTTTCTGCTTGTATTATTATTATGTGTATATTTTAAAAATATAAATAAAAATATTGAATTTTTCAATTTATCTATGTTTCTTTTAAATAATTTGGAACTGTCCGCCTTTAGACACAATTTATCCAAAAAGCGGACACTTTTTAAAAAAATAAAGTCTTATTTTCCATAGAAACTTAAAATTATTGTTATTATTATTATTATTATTATTATTATTATTATTATTATTATTATTGTTATTTTGCACTGCAGAATTAATAATAAACTATACTCCAGAAAAAAAAGTCCTACAAATTCTTAATATTAAAAAAATTATTTAGCTTTTTGTGAAAGGTGTCCGGTTTGCGGTACTTTTACTCTATTTAAAAAAAAAAAAATAGAGAAAAAAAGAAGATATATTATTTAAAAGTAAAAATACCCTCAATTAGTCAAAAACAAAGATATAATATTTAAAAATCATATAGTGAATATAGTAATAATCATCTAATTAAAACGCTGTTAAATTTTTGGCGTTGTTAAAGTAATTTCATCACGCATGAATAAATCTGTGGCGCGAAATTTTGGTGCTAAAATAATGAAATTAATTTTTTCTTAAAGAAAAATATGTTAACTAAAAATCCAATTCATTTTGATTTGAAAAACAATGTATAGAAACATTTAGTTTTGACTTTATTTAAAGATGCCATTATTGTGTAATATGAGCATGCTCAAATTACCCAATATTTTTCTTTGAAATTACCTAGTTTAAAGTCCTAAAATAGCAGCCCTAAAATAGCAGCGGTTTTAATTTCTTTTTGGATAAAAACATAACATAGTAAAAAAAAAATTTTATTTTAACAATCTTAAATATTTTTTCTGTAATTTAGATTCAAAAAATTTGAATTTTTATCGTTCAATAGTTTGAGTTAATAAAATTGAAAAAATAACGAAAATTTTTATTTTTATTTTTTTGCGGATAACATAGTAGCATTATTTCAACAAAAATTGGCCTAAAATTTAATATTTTAATGATAAGTTTTGATAGTAACGAATCATTATATTCCAAAAATTAATTCTATATCCAGCAGAGGTTTACCCTAATCTACCCTAAATGTTTTTTCTTGCAATGATGATTATAAAGTTAAAAATATTTTTGACTCAATTTTTGAATTTTGAGTGGATCCTTTAATAAATAGTCCAACAAGAGTAACAATTAATACAGCTTATCGATAATATCATTACAACAGATATATCATTAATAATATCATACAACATATCTTATGATAATATCATTTCAAAAGATATACTTAATAATGATATACAAATAGATATTTTGAAAACTGATATTTCTGACCACTTTTCTATATTCTTAACATTTAATAGCAAGCTCTCAAAAAAACAAATAATCCAAATAACTCATAAAAACCTTGAATTACCAAAGAATTTAAAAAGTCATCAAAGCTTAAGAAAAAATTATATTTAATATATATTAAAAATAAAATCGCCTGGAAATGAAAAAAAAAGACAGGGAATTTAAATATCTGTTTGAAAAAAACTTGCAAAAAATTAAAAAAATAAGTACTCTAAACTACTTAATAAGTATAGACATAACTCAAAAAGCACAGGTAAATAATGAAAAAAATTATAGAAAACAAAATCTCGCTCAGGTTTCCTGCCTCAAGTCATCAAAGTCGAACAAACATATTTTTGAGATATAGGATATAGCTCGTGTACTAAATAATATTTTTTTTGGAATTGGTTCTAAATTGGCAACAAGAGTTCCAAACACCCGAGCCAAATTGTCTTCAGAATTATCTTTTGAAGAGTTTGTAAATATCTTCAAATCTTTTAAAAAAAGTAAGCAACAGGTGCCGATGACATAAATGATAATATAGTTATAGACTGTTTTGAACAACAACAAAAATATTCTCTTTAAAGTTTTCAAAGCGTCAATACATCAAGGAATTTTTCCTTATTAATTGAAAGTCGCAAAACTTTTAGAAAAAGTAATGAATAATAGAGTGTATAACTATTACATAACCATATTTATATAACCAGAGGTGTGGAGTCGTAAAAAAAAGTAACGACTCCGACTCAGTTGTTCTAATATTTTGAGTACAAATCCGACTCCGACTCCAACTCCGACTCCAACTCCAAAGCAAAATTTTTGAAAAATTCTTTGAATTCTTTAAAAATATTAAGCGATAAGTTAAAAATTTATTTTTTGACAAATTTATGAAACATTCTTTCAGGTTTAGTATGAACATAAGGTCAATTTAATGTTTTGTACATGCACATGCAATACCGAGAAGTTTTACTATTGGAGTCGGAGTCGCGATTTTGTTTAGCAACTCTAACTCCACTGAAAATGTCGCAACTTTGCAACTCCGACTCCGACTCCGCAGCCCTGATAATAACCTGTTATATAACAATCAATTTGTTAAAAAAAAACAAAAAAACAATCTGTACGCAAGATATCAAATTCTTTTGAAAGTTCCCACTTCCACTCTATACACACTTTTTTTATTGACCTTTCAAAGGTCAATAAAAAATAAATCTCTTGTTAAAGCAAATAAAATTTTATATATATATATATATATATATATATATATATATATATATATATATATATATATATATATATATATATATATATATATATATATATATATATATATATATATTATAAATTTAAAAATAATAGTTTTATTTAGTTTGTTCTAATTTTTATGTAAAAAAAAAAAAAGAAGCAAGTTTTAATTAGTAAATGATTAATCATTTTTACGGTAAAGAAAAAAAATTTTAGAAGAATTTTAGTTTAATGCTAATGCAAAAGGTACGAATATTGATAAGTTAGCTAATTTGATGTTACAATAAACATGAAATAGAGTTTGTGAAGACCTTAGTGCTAGAAATACTTGCATGCATTAAGTTAAGATTATGCAAGTAAGTTGTCCTATTTTTATCTTTAAAGACTAATAATAGTTGTAATGAACATATCTCAGACAATATACACTCGGATTTACATTTTAGTTAAACCATCACCACTTCCACAGCCACTTTGTCTCAAGCATTCAATCACATTCTAAGATATCTTTATTGAAATTAAGTGTGACTACTTTACCAAAAGACTCTAGAATGGACCAATCAAGTAAGATGTCTAAATTTATATCTTTTATATAAAACTTTTTAGATAAACCTGTTAATTTTATGACTGATAAACATATTTAGCAATGTAATCCTTTTAGGATAGACTTTTTAAAATCAAATTTACAATGCTTTGGTAAATTTTTATTTAAAATAACTTTGTATACATAATATATCTATATAGTTATTTACATTGTAGCTAACCCATCAGTACTTGCAAAGTCTCCTTTTCTGTTAGCTCAAAAATTGAGTTCTAAAATACCATTATTCACATAACTACTATATCATAGCACAAACTAATGATTAGTAAGCGACCGAGGTTGATATTTGACCGGGGCCAGGGCCGGGTTTATTAAAACATAGCCGGGGCTGGTTTTGTGACCGGGGCTGCATTAATATTGATACTCCTTATAAATATATTATTGTTATTTAAAATTCATGATATATTTTATATAAAGGTATATATATCATCTCATTGTCATCATCATCATCATTGTCATTATCATCATCATCATCATCATCATCAAGCATACTGTTGATGATGATGATTAAGATGATTCTGATGATGATGATGACAATGATCATCATCATCATCATCTTAATCATTGACATCATTATCATCTTCTCTGATACACACTATAAATATAATTACTACTCTCATACTATCTCTAAGATCATTGCTTTTTTTCCTATCTTTTAAAGACACCATATATCTATTTGTTCTTTCTGGATGAAAGAACAATCAAGCGAGCAACCTGGATATTCTAGAAAAGTCAGTTGCCATCATGTAATAAATTGATTATTTAAAATTTTTAAACAAAGTTAATAGTTTAAAGAAATGTTTAAAAATTGCTAACAATCAGGGTGTTTAAAATATCCTAAAATAAATTTCATAAGATAAATTTATTGTAAAATTGCATTTACATTTAAAATGTAAGTAACTTTTTAATTGAAATTTTAATCATTAGAATTACATAGTTGAGCTATTCAAGTATTTAAATGTAAAGAATAATAAGAAAAAATTTATTTAAATGTAAAGAATAATAAGAAAAAGCGAATAGATATTTCAGAAGATCCATTATTATATTGGAGTCTCATGAAAAGCGAGTTGCCAAGGCTAGCAAACTTGGCAAAAGTATATTTATGTTTACCCTCAAGCTCAACAGCTAGTGAGAGGGAGTTCAAGGTTTCAAAGTTAATACAAAAAGATCGCATCAGACTTACAACACAGAATGTTGAAACACTTCTTTTTTTAAAATACAATTTAAGGGCTCTTTCTTATTCAACATATTTATGTGATGCCCCTGAAGACTTTACACCACCTAGTTCAAAATACTATGATGTCTGGGACAAGAGATTCATCAGAATCAGAGGAAGAAACTTAAATTATCATAAAGTGTCTTATTTCTTATTTGTCATTGTAAATATTTATGAGTTATATTATATATTATTTTTGTGACTTTTTCTTATATTTCCTTAAACTTTAACAAAAAACTTTAACTTGACAAAATTTAAAAAAAAAGCAACAAAAACAACAACAAAAATCCAGCCCCGGCTAGTAACCCCTGCAAATTGTGTATGTTTAGCCGGGGCCGGGGCCGGGTTTGCAAAAACATCTGTTTTTAGTTGGGGCTGGGGACCCGGTCACTTAATATAATGGATTGATCAAGTAATACTTAATTTTTAGCTTGAGCTGCTTGTTAGTACATATATGATTTTGATATATAAATTTTAATTATGTTTATTGATTAGTTTTTAACTTTAAGAATTTTAGGAATTACAATTTTATTTTTACATGTTTATTTATATTGTAGTGAAACTGTCGGTATCTCCACAACTTTTCAATTAAATAGAAAGTTTCAATCAAACAGGATACTGAGTGTGCCTACTGCTTCTCAAGACAATGGATAATGGGAGTTATCAAACTTGCGATAACTACAAGTTTTTTTAATAAGGTTTTTATTATATAAATGTTATATATTATACAGAGTTTTAAAGAAATGTTTTTTATGAATTCTTACTATAGTTACTCAATGTACACTGTACTAATGTACAATCTTCTATAATTTATAAAACTATGGATTTATAAATGTTAAATGAATGATTTATATGAATAGAATGAAGGTGTTTATTGAGTTATTTTTATTATTTTTAGTAAAAAGATTGTATGACTTCGGTATCCGCAATATGGTATCGTGCATTGGTTCTTATCTTAGAATGGCTCCCTTCCGTATAGGTGAAAATAAGAAAGGTTATCAGTTCAAGCAAAGATGACAATGATCATTATGGAGCCGATCATAATGACGAATACGGTAATGCATATAATAATAAATAAAATGATTTTACTTGTATTTTAGACTTATATAAATAAAAAATTATCTTTTTAATATTTAATTTGTTTTTGAGTATTTAGATAATGCATTCAGCATTTAACTTTTCTTTACGGTACTTATTTAAAGCAGCTTAAATAAAAGAAAAGTTTGATTCGTTTATCAGTATTTTTTATTTATTTATGCTTCTTTAAATAAGCGCCGTAAAATAAAGTTAAACGTCGCGAAATTTAACGAAAGATTTAGATAAAGTTTAAATAGCGTTTAAAACGAACCATTTAGATATGGTTTAAATGGAACATTCGATTGACCTACGTTCTTAATCGAAACTAAATCAAATCTAAACATTTAGAACGAACATTAACTAAACGTTGATTAAATGTTCGAATACCCGTTAACAAAAACAAAAACAAAAAAAAACTGTGGTTCAAATTCTTGCGCTCGCATACTTAATTTTTTTCTCTCTTTTTCTAATTTTTTTTGAAATGCAAAAAAAAAAAAAAATTTAAGGTCTTTTAGATATTAAATATATAACATATATAACATATATAAAGATATTACATACTATAAAAAACGAAAGGGATAGAATTTTTGAAAAAGCTTAAAATTTCTAAAAACATCAAAACACCGGGAGAGTATATATTAATATAATATTGTTGTTATAATATTGTTGCACATGTCATGATGGAGATACTATTGTTATTAATTAATTAATTGTTGTTACTGTTATTAATGTGCTCAGGTAATTAGAGAAATTTGTGCGTTTATACATTAAAGCAGAGATGTAGATCTCGTGGCTAAAGTCTTGGTCTTGATACCTCTCGAGACTCGGTCTTGGTCTTGTCTTTGTCTTGAAGCTTGGAGTCTTGGTCTTGAAAATCTGAAGGATTGGTCGTGGTCTCGGACTTTTACCGTTTTGAACTTTCTTGATCCTTACAAAAAGTCACAATGGATAGATTAGTACTATTTAAAAACAAATTGTTGATCACCGCAACTTTCTGCTCTATAGAGACTTTTACCTTGAAAGATGTGTACTTTTTTGTAATTTTTTTACACATACCAGTCTTTGTTAGATTGTCAAAATATAAATTGTGAAATTTATATTTTAATAAATTGTGTCTGTTTAACTTTAAGTACATAGTGCACTTAAATAGAATATGTAAATTTTAATTTTTAATTTTTTTTTTAATTAAGAGTAAGGGGGGAAATATAGCCCTTGGAATAAATATGGCCCAACATACTTACAAAAAGAGGATTGATTGTAAATGCGCTTTACCATTGTGGTTTGCATTTCCTAAGAAATACAGTGAAAGACTTTGAATACAAAAAAACAGAGGTGTTTTATAAAACAGCATTTCACCAGGGAGACCCAAATTTATCTATCTTAAAGACTATTGTACCTTCTCCAAAAAAAAAGCAAACCTACTAATTCAAAAAGCCACATTGCTCTTATTACATCACCAGATGATGTTACGTTTGTAAAGCAGCCTCCTGCTAAAAGGTTGCAACAAAAAATGCGGTCAGTGTTTAACAGAAGTCAAAAAAATATCAAATAAATCAGTCAAAAAAAATCGAAGAAGAGTGATTCCGATCACTCAAGTTTATCTAGTGGTTTTATTCTAAAAAATAACGCTGATAAAGACTGTTGTTGTGTTTGTGCAGCTTTTAAGGGAGAAGCAAATGAAGATTGGCTTAAATGTTTAAGTTGAAATCATTGGGCATGTGAAAGATGTTTTGGAGTTGATACATGTAAAATTGTCTGCGAAGGACGTATAAACTCAAATTCTTAAATAGTTATAGTAGTGATATAGTTTGTTTTTTTTTTGTTTTTTTTTTTTTTGTAGCTTTAAAGTGCTATTTTGAGCGCTAGTGCGGTTAGACGGTTTTCATTTATGCTAAAATCATTTTTTAATATTTTTTAAAAGAAGTTTAACCATTGACGTCCTTTTAGAAGTTTTAGAAATCAGGAAACTGATTTTCAGTAATTTTATCTTGTCATTATCTGTAGGCTACTTCAGTAATTCTATCTGTAGCTATCTGCAGGCTATCAGTAATTCTATTTACGTCACTTAGAGACTTACTATTATAGATTAAGAAAATCATTCTACTAATATCTCAAAAATGTTTTATATCAAAGTTTTTTATTCTCCTAGGTAAGTTGTCTTTACGACTAGTAAGGAGTTTTGTCTATCGCCAAAGTGATGTATTTTTCAATTAGTTTAGTTCTATTGAAGATCTTGAGTCTTTGCAGAATGACATTAACGAATTTGTAAAATGGACGGATATCTGGTTGACAAAGTTGAACATCGAAAAGTGCAAGGTTATGCATTTAGGTAAAAAGAATCCACGAATGAGTTATTGTATGACCCACACAGAAAAGAGTATAAATTAAAAACAACAGTAAGTGAAAGAAATTTAGGAGTGATTATTTCATCCGACCTTAAATGCCATGATCAAGTGACTTCAGCGACAGCAAAAGCACAAAGAACTTTGGGTCTAATTAAACGTACGTTTACATACCTTGATGTGAAAATGGTGAAATCACTATATACGACATTTGTGAGACCGCTTCTTGAGTTCGCTATACCTGCATGGCAGCTTTATTTACAACGGGATGTTGATGAGTTAGAGAAAGTACAAAGAAGAGCAACGAAGTTAGTTCCACAACTTAAAAAGGTTTCATATGAAAAAAGACTGAAAGCAATGGGATTAATAACATTAGAGAAAAGATTAAGCTAGAGGAGATCTTATACAACAATACAGATTCAAGCAAAATATAGACCAAATAAATTAGTACAAAAATCCAAAACCGGCAACATCCGTGACTAGTTCAGGCCCGGCTTTTTCTGTAACGGGCAATAAATACAGGCTAGAAAAAGAATACGTACCATCATGTTTACCGAGATATAATTTCTTTACCAATCGAGTTTGTAAAAATTGGAATTTGTTACCAAATGAAATCATTGAAGCAACATCGTTGAATGTTTTCAAAGCGCGAATAGATAAACATTTTTCATAACTTGTGTTTTTTAATTTGTGTGGGCTGTCTATAACCCGATGCTTGCATCGCGTTCCACAATTTATTTTATTTTTAAATATTTATATTTAAACAAATTTGTAATTGTTACAGCAATAAATATTACTACTATTACTATTACTATTGACAATTTTTATATATGATATTTGCCCAGTAATTGAAAAATTCACCTCTCGTGACTTGATGATGAAAAAATCAATTTCTACGCTAAAGCAACTTTAGAATTTATTTTGATTCAATACATTAAACAAGTAAGGACCCTAATTAATAAAAAAATGTTTTTATTAATTAGGGTTCTTACTTGTAAACTAGAAAAGTTTCCTTATTTATATGCGAGTTTTTTATTTATTTAAAAAAAAAAAAGATAGGTCTTTTGTATTTTTTTTATTTGAAGATGAAAGCGCTTAAAGGAAAAAAACACTATTATTTTGTTAAAGTAAATTATGACAAAATGTAGACCCTTTAAACAAGTTAGTTGGTAAGTTTAGATGCCCCGCCTTACCCTAACCATTTTAGATTAGATATGCTTTGAGTAAGATTTATATTGCTAATTATAAATATTTAAATAAAATATATTAAAAAAAAAAAAAAAAAGATAGATTCAAATCCTGAAAATGACAAATTTATATTAGTATTTATAAATTAACATAACTAATATCTTGCTTAACATTTTTGCAGCTCGTGTATACTTACATTAATCTTACTAATAATTTATTTTAACCAAAGCTATAAATAAACAACTTTATTCAAAATTTAATTACCATTGTTCTACACTTGTTAGGATTAAATTGTTATTGATATTGTTACTGTTTACAAACTTCTGTTACCCATATCATATAAAGGGGGGATTTTATATCAGAGTTCTTATTCTCCAAGGTGAGTTGCCTTCGCCAGAGCTAAAAGGCCTCACTTTTTATATGAATTTCTTGTGTAAACACATAAGCAATAACTATAGATGTATCAAAAGGTCAAAATTTATTTAAGCTGTATTAATTTTAAATTCATTCACCATATTTCAAAAATATACTAAATCAAAATAATGGCAGACTTTTTTTAGTGTTGCATACTTATGTATGTAATTAATTTGACGAAGGTGTGTTATATTTCGTAGATTAAGAAGTGCAATAAAGAACTTTCTTTTTTTTTTCTACATCAGATCAGTAAACGAAGTCTGTGAATGTCCTATAATTATAAGTTTTTGTTTATAATTGTTATAAGCGGTAGCGCCCAAACTAAGGCTATATTCGGCTAAGGCAGACGCAATCTGGTGTGACCCCCCCCCCTCTATTGTTTTTTATTCATTTAATCAGTTTATTTGAGGCTTTTCAATATGCCATTCTGCAAATGTAGACCCTTTAAACAAGTTAGTTGGTAAATTTAGATTGTCATTTGGAAAACGTCGACTAGGCTGTTGGCAAATTTTATTAAACAAGGACCTATTTTTTTTTATTTTTTTATTTTTAGTCGGCAAAAGTTGTAATGGCATCCCACCACGTGATACCTACTCGCGCCGGCCCTGAATACTGTCCTAATGATAAATCTCCAAATAATAATAAATAAATAGGTATATATATATATATATATATATATATATATATATATATATATATATATATATATATATATATATATATATATATATATATATATATATATATCATATATATATATATATATATATATATATATATATATATATATATATACATATATATATATATATATATATATATATATATATATATATATATATATATATATATATATATATATATATATATATATATATATATTTATATATATATATATTTATATATATAGGGTAAAGTCGGGTAGCCCCGGACGGCGGGTAACTCCGGACACTTGATGTACAGCTAAAACTAAAGAAGCTATGTGAATTTTAATACTAGAATAACATTATTATGAAAATATGGCATATGCAAAATATCTATCATAAAATGCCGAAGCGAATGACTGAGAGGGCAAGATTTTGTTTCCCACCACCAGAAGAGTGACGTATAC